CTTTATTTTTATCCTAAATCTGAACTGTCATGGGACTGGAGTAGAGATGGCAGGAGGAGTGAGACCAGGAGAAGAGGGCCGAGAGGCGGGGACAGAAGAAAACGGAAGAGTTGACTTTGTACCTTTTTTTTTTTTCCCCCTCCTTCATAAAGGTAGTTTATTATCATTTCTTTTTTTGTTGTTGTTGTTTTTTGTTTTTTTTAATTGCATTTTAGGTTTTGGGGTACATGTGAAGAACATGCAAGATTGTTGCATAGGTACACACATGGCAGTGTGATTTGCTGCCTTCCTCTCCTTCACCTACATCTGGCATTTCTCTCCATGCTGCCTCTTTGTACGTTTTTTATGTGTGTGTTTTTAAATATTTTTTTTGAGTTTATGGAGTCTTTTTGTTTCCATCAAGTGTGTAGATAAATTAGTTTGAAGATTTTTACAAGACTTTTGTTGTGCCCGTTAAAGTCTTTAATTTTTCTTGGGCCAAGTATTGTTACATACACCAAAAATATAGCCAGACAGACAAAGCCTAGAATTAGACCAGATTGAGTATCTTACTTGCTGTAGATATTTAGTATTATCATCATTTTTTGGAGGACTCAGTCTAAATTATATTCGGGACTTTACCCTAACCAGGATTTGTTTTAGAATGTAACTTGAACTTACCATTTTAGACAAGGATGGAACTTTAATTTATAATTTTAGACTATAAAAATAGAACTTGAATGTATAATTTTGATGGGATTAAAGATAATTAAAGGTGTAGGCATATATTAATGAGGTGTTTATTAGAAAGATGCCTTATTTAGAAGCTCTTTTTTAAAAAAGAAAGAAAGCAGTGTCAAGGGAGCCTGGCATGTTGTGGCAGAGAACTAGGGATCTTATAATCAAATCTTTACACAAACTAGGCTAGGTGGCCACTCAGGGTCAGTAAAGGGGGCCCATACCCTGTTAAGAGGATAGAGTATCTTGGACCAGCTTTGTCTCATCCATGTCTGTGAGTTTCACTGATGGTAGGTTTAGTAAGGTATCCAGTTAAAAAATATGAACACATAAGTAAAATGCTTTTCTGTATGCCAACAATAACCATTTTGAAAATATAATGGAATAATATCACATTCTATTCTTACTGGCATCAAATATTAAATATAATATTAAATAACATTCAAATTAAAACATTTTCTCCCAAATTAATATTTAACTTTGAGATAATTCCAAGTAATAACCCAAAGAAGCTTTGTTGAACCTTGAAATGGTAAATTTTATTCAAAAGAATGAATAGCTGAGAAGATATTTTACAAAACAAAATAATGTAGAGAGACTTTTACCATTAGATGATAAAATACAAAGTGACTATGGTTTAAGCAGGGTGCAGGTGGAGCCAGGATTTGCAAAGAGATTCATGGAAAAGAAGAAACATCTACTAAAACAAATCACTTACAGATAAGTACTTGATATATGATAAGCATGCGTTTTGAATTCAAGGAGAGATTATGTTTTAAAATAAATGACACTAGCACTGTAATCTATAAACTAAAAATAGAAATGTGAAAAAAAGAATCAATAAACCATAGACTCTGCTTTTTAGGAAAAGACTCAGACTCTGGGTGAGCTTGGAAGCCGCTACCACCTCATTCATCTGGAGAAGTTGGTGATGTACTAACTCTGGGTTCTGTACCTGTAAGCTGGCTCCAGCCCCAGCTGGCACTACCACTTAATTAGCCAGACTAACACTGGCTAAGCTGATTGGCTAAGTAAAAGGATGTATTACTGGATCGTCTCTTTCCTTGTCTGTAAACTTGGAGAGTGACAGTACCCACCTCATGGGTTATCATGAATACTAAATGCAGTGTTGCAAGTTCCTAGCAAATAGTAAACTCTCACAAGATGCTGCCAAGAGCCCCAGCTTTCCTGCTGTATCATGCTTCTGCCTCCATAAAGAATTTGTTCTCAGAATTTTCATGAGATGCACGTGGAACTCCCAGATATTGGCTTCTGCAGTGGCTCACCCAGGGGTTCGTGCAGCCCAGGGGATGAAGTGAAGGCAGGTGGAGGGCATGGCAGGAACTTGGCTCCAGGCCCTGAAATGGTGACAGATAAACTGGCTTTCCACTTGGAGATGAAATTCACTTTTCAATTATAGCACTTTCTCCCAGACATCAGCCTAAACACAGAGCATGACCAATGCTTCCATTTTAAGACCATAATTGGTGAGTCCAGCCCTTAAACCCTTTCATAGAGCTTCTCTAAAATTACAGTGTTCTCACCCTCCAAAAATACGCAGCTCAGTTTGGTCATGTTGCAAAAATGCCACTTGTATTGACCTTTTGACTTTGAAAATAGCAACATGTGGAGGACACTTAAGAAAATGAAAACCCAGCATCTCTTGCAGTCAAGCCAGGCCCCAACTTTAGGAAGATGCAGCTCCTGAGTCTAAGGATGGTGCCCACTGCTCCAGGACAGAGTATGGGGGTTTACCTTCCTCTTTCTGGGCCTGCATGAAACTGGTTACATTATTTGGCAACTTCTCTGGATGAATCTTTTCTCTCTCTTATTTTTTCTTTCTTGTTTTTATGTTAGAAAGTATAGACATGTTATAGTCTGAATGTTGCATCCTCCTCAAATTTGTTGCAACCCTAGCCTCCAATGGGATGTTATAAAAAGGTGGGGCCTTTGGGAGCTGATCAGGATGTGGAGCCTTCATGAGGGTATCAGTGCACTTCTAAGAAGTGGCAACAGAGGACTCGCTTGCTCTCTTTGATCTCTGCCATGTGAGGATACAACAAGAAAATGGCTATCCATCAACCAGAAAGAGGGCCAGCAAGAATCCAATCATGCTGGCACTCTGCTTTCAAACTTCCAGCCTCCGGAACTGTGAGAAATGAATGTTTGTTGTTTAAGCCACTCAGCCTATGGTATTCTGTTATAGCAGCCCGAGCCAACCAAAACACAGCGCTAGGTTGTTTTGCTGCTTTATTTACCAGTCTAATTTTAGTGAACCCCCCACCAGTGTGCTGGATGTCAAAGACAGGTTTAAGATAAAAATTATAAGCTTCCCTGTATAACCAAAAGCATGATGTTATCAAAGGCAAAGACTTTTTTATACCTGGGGATAATGTTCTGGAAAAGTTGCTCGACTGCATAGGAAACTCAGATGGGACAGAAGGAGCATTGACTTAGAGCCAAGACAACTGACTCAGTTCTGGCCTAGTTAATTTCCAGCCCCGTGTTCTGAAAAACGTCATATAACTTCTCTGAGTTTCTGACTCCTTATTTGTGAAAGAGGCACTAGAGCTCCTACTCAACCCCTTATTTGGGTGCTATCAGGATCAAACGTGATGATGAAGTGAATATGGTTTGTAAACTTTAAAGTGCTATGCTTCACATCACCATAGTGTTCTGTGAACACAAGGTAAATGATACCAAATATTTATTAAAGGACACGCTTCTGTGGTCTTCTGGGAAAAATAAGCAAGAAAACAAGAAAGAAGAAAACATGAAAGTAAGCAAGAAAGTGTGTGTATGACACACACACACAGAGATTTTCTTTATTAACGATCACTGATCCTCCCACTGAACAGTGTGTGTATGATACAGAGAGAGAGAGATTCTCTTTATTAATGATCACTGATGCTGCCACTGAACATCTCTCTGGGCATGTTCTGGAATCAGCACTTCCGAATGATTATGGAAGCCTATCTTGGGAGGCAGCCTTTCAGCCTCTTCAGTGTTATTTATGGAAGTATGATACATCTGTTGACCTAGATTGACAGTCCTTCCTCTCAGTGGAACCATAAGCCCACAGTTCAGGGTCGCCCTTACTTGGTCTGGCTCTAGGCATGGCCTTTGCGCCAGTTGGGAAGAGCTCATGCAGGCCTCCTCACCTTGCCCAAGCCATCTCTGTGGCTGCTACACCACTGCTACACCAGTGCCTCCCTCCCCCATGCTGAGACAGCCATGTCCTATGTATGGGACTGGGGAGACATTACCAGAGAGCAGTTGAAGGGCACAAGCTCCACTAGATACAAAGGCAGCTCCAATCCTGTTCCATTGTATAGGAACAGTGCACTCATAGGCAGGCCATTTTAACTACTTGTGTCTTATTTTCTTCATCTTTAAGGGAAGATGCCTTAGCTGAGGTTTCTGAGAAGGAGACTCTCACATGGAGATTTGCATGCAAGAAGCTTGGTGCAGTGCACTTGGGATGTAGAAGGAAATGAGGGGCAGCATTGGCCAGAGGAAGATGAACTTTGATGCAAATAAAACGATGGCCCCACTGGTCTTCCAGTGACCTCTGAAGCTAGGCTGTCCCTTCAGATTTGTTTCATTTTGAAGCTGGGAGTCTCAACCTCTGTTTGCCCACATGGACGATGTTGGGATACAGGCTGTCACTGGGGAAGGGGAGGCCGTTTTCTTAGATCAAAGGGAATTCCTGGAGAGAGACTCAGTGGGAGCTGCCAACCATCAGCTTAACAACAGCTGCGGGAATGAGAGTCTTGGTCCTGCAAGGGGGTCTCAGTCCTGTAGGAGGTCTGGGTGGCACCCCACAGTGTCCCCTACAGAGAGCAACTGATAGCAAGTAATGTAGTACCTGTGAAAACCTGAGCGTAGTACCACATGATCAACCTGTTGTGTCTGTTAGTATCATTCTTACCTCATATTATTCTAATTGTTGCTTTCTAACAATTATATCATGATGTTTTTCTTCTCTTCTCAACTTCTCTATGTTTGCACCATGAGCTGCTTAATAGAAACAGCCATGCTTTCTGTTTGTTTCATTCCAGTTTCAACCTTTGTTTTCCTAGGCTTGAGCACAGAGTTTGGCTTATAAATAACAATAAATAGTTGTAGATGGAAAGACAGATCAAGGTATAGGATTGCACCCGAATGGAGACCACAAAGAGGATGCTCCTGAGGCTGCCTTTGAGTATACTGGGTATACACTGCTGTCTTCAGTACTCACCAGGTGACAACTGTGTGTGACCATCCCTTGCTTTCTCTCCTAGTCTCTCTGGACTCGTGGCAGTCCCTGGCCCTCTCTTCAGTGGTTGTTGATCCATCCATTAGGAACTTTGATGTTGCTCATGTCAGCACTGCTACCACCAGCAATTTCTCTGCAGTCCGAGACCTCTGTTTGTCAGGTAAGAAGAGTTTCCAACCCCCAGGTAGTGCGGGACAAAGCCTCACACAAGTGCTGCTCAAGATTCTCACCTTAGATAAGCACGTGAGATACCACGATAACCTAGGGTGCTTGGAAGTAAGGGATTAACCTGGGGAAGAAGACCTGGGAAAGGTCTCCTCATTCCCCCTCAGGGCAGCCGAGGTGTCCAAGGGAATATGCCAGCCAGAAGACGAGGGACATAAACCCAGGTCAGAGGAAGATTAGAAGAAGGATCTGGTGGGCTAGTCGGAGGCAGAAAAGATGCACATGTACGGCAACTATGGCAGCTGACCTCGGATAGCAGGCGGGCTGTTGTGGTGAGGTGGAAGTACACTTGTCTGGCCTACGGGATACAGCTAAGAGCTATTATTTTGGTAGAACTCGAATTTCCAGAGACATTTTTTTCTTTCTTTCTTTTTTTTCTTTGAGACAGATTCTTGCTCTGTCACCCAGGCTGGAGTGCAGTGGTACAATCTCTGCTCACTACAAACTGCGCCTCCTGGGCTCAAGCAATTCTCCTACCTCAGCCTTCCAAGTATCTGAGACTACAGGCACACACCACCACGCCTGGCTAAGTTTTGTATTTTTAGTAGAGATGAGGTTTCACCATATTGGCCAGGCTGATCTTGAACTCCTGACCTTGTGATCTGCCCGCCTTGGCCTCCCAAAGTGCTGGGATTACAGGCATGTGCCACCACCCCCAGCCTCCAGAGACATTTTTCAATGCAGTTTGAAGAACTTTTTAAATAGGCAAAGCTGTCCACAGATGCATAATTCCTTTAGAGAGTTTTTGGTCATTGTTGGTATTTAAACAAAAGCTAGGTAACCACTTGATAGGAATGTTCAACAAAGAATTTTAGCTTCTGAAAGAGGCTGAGATCAGATAACTTTTATATCCTTCCCAAGATTCTAACCCCCTCTGAGGTTCTATGAATTCCATGAATCTCCTTCTCCACAAGGTTGGATAATAATATGCACAAAGCTGTGCTTATCTTGCAGATTGGACCACCATGTACAGATATGCAGGTTAGGCACTGCACACCTCTGGGTGGTACGATTCACAGAAGTTGAGCTATAAGTAGGGCTGTTAGGCTGTCAACATCTGACAAATCAAATGAAGCAGCACTTTTTCAGAACTGTTCTCAGGACTGAATGTCATGTAGTTTAAATTGTCCAGTGCAGAACTTGACATGCATGGGAAAGGGCATGGTCCCTGGTGGAACAGTGGGTATGGTGCTAGCCGAGGAGGCAGTGAAGGACAGGAGAGGGAGACAGAGCTGAAGACAAAATCTAGAATATGGAGACCCTTGTTTGAAATTACTTAATCCTTAAGCCCATGGGGAGCCGTGGAGATATATTAAGCAGGGAAATAACAAGAGCATATTTTTAAATTAAATAAACAAAAAAGACCTTAATCCTGTGTGAAACGTAGATTGATGAGAGGGTTGGGTTTCCCATTGCTACCATTTTATTTCCATCCCCTGGCACAGTGCCTAGGATTTATTATAGTGCTCAAATAAATGAGTGATTGCATGACTGATGGATGGATGGATGGATTCATAGATTCATGGTTTCATGGATGCATGATTAAATGAAATGATACATGGATGGAAGGGTGGATGAGTGGATGCCTGGATGCCTGGATGGATATGTGGATGAATTCATGAATGTGTGATTGGATGAAAGGATAGATGGATGGAAGGGTGGATGAATGGATGGATAGATGCATTGATTCATGGATGCATGATTGAATAGAAAAATGGATGAATGGAAAGGTGGTTGAGTGGATGGGTGGATGGATGATTGATAATTGGATGGATGCATGAGTGACGTAATATCTCTGAGGCCCAAGCATCACTCTTCTCCCTCTTCTCTGTAGAATGTTCCCAACATGAGGCCTGTCTCACCACGACTCTGCAGACCCAACCTGGGGCTGTGAGATGTATGTTCTATGCTGATACCCAAAGCTGCACACATAGTCTGCAGGGCCAGTACTGCCGACTTCTGCTTCGTGAAGAGGCCACCCACATCTACCGGAAACCAGGTAAGCCCAGGCCTAAGCCTTTGCAGCCATCCTGGGAAACTGGGTCTGGCTCAGAGGAACTATTTAAGCACATGGTGACTTGGAGGACAATGGCTTTTGTTAGCCAAAGTTCTGGGCTAGGTGCAGTCACTTGCAGTGAACTAAAGGAAAGTAAAAAAAATTCCTATTCCTGTATCACTTTTATTCATTTATTTCTTTGAGTTATAGAAGTCATCTTGGTTTTGAAGAGTTTCTTAGTAAAATAATTAAAGATCTCACTTTTTATTATTGTTTTATAGTTTAGAGAGTTCTTTCACAGACCTCACCTCATTTGGTCCTCACACTAATCCTGTATGGTGACAGGCTAAGGGCTTTATCCCTGTCTTAGATATCAGAAGGCTGTAGCCCAGAGAATTTAAGTTCCTTCTGTGTTTTCACACAGCTGGTGATGACAGAGCTGGAACTTGGAGCAAGATCACCTAGCTCAAGATGCAAAGCTCTGCAGCCTGACTATCGCATCATAAACACTTTGGAGAGGGAAGTTGTTCCTGGCTGAGTTTAGTTTTAGAGCATGTGTCAGATACTGTGTTGGTGCTGGGGATCCAGGCAAGGCAAGGGGGAACGTCCATAAATCCATCACTGAGGAAGACTGCTAAGAGCTGTAGAACAGGAAACAGGGGCTGGACATCTGGGGGAAGCCCCCACTAGATATGTTTATTAGATGAAATTAAGGACTGTTAACTTGTTGGCTACATCTGCCACCTTTTCTTCTAGAGCAAGGTTCTACAACCATACTTTTCTGTTTCTACTAATCAACTGCTATTGTAGCATTGAATGCAGCAGTAAACAACATGTAAGCCAGTAGATGTGACTGCGTTCTGATAAAACTTTATTGAAAAAACCAAGTAGCAGCAGATTTGGCCCCTTGCTGTCCTAGAGCATTGACAGTTCTTTGGTTCTGTCTTGATGCCAGAGACATCCTCCTCTTCTGCCCCCTCCTCAACCTTAGCCTTCAGACCATAAGAGTGTCTTCCAGACCTGAGAGTGCTTTGATTCCTATGTGATGAGATATTAGGCCCCCAGTTGAAAGTCTTGTCCTCAATTTATCTGGACATTCATATTATTTAGTCGAGCTATGCAGATTTTTTTTCTGAGACAAAGTCTCACTCTGTCACCTAGGCTGGAGTGCAGTTGCATAATCTTGGCTCACTGCAACCTCTGCCTCCTGGGATCAAGTGATTCTCATGCCTCACTGGGACTACAGGTGCATGCCATGATGACCAGCTAATTTTTGTATTTTTAGTAAAGATGGGATTTTGCCATGTTGGCTGGGCTGGGCTTGAACTCCCAGTCTCAAGGGATCCACCCACCTCGGCCTCCCAAAGTGCTGAGAGTATAGATTTTAATAGTATATTTCAGAATAGTATAGCCAATCTGTGTGGTAGTTCTGCTGAAAAATGCCTTAACATTGAGGTTTGAGTTCCGTAAAACACAAATTATACTGCTTCTCTGTGACTTCAGTGTGACTAAAATTCAATTTGAAATGCTCACTTGCAAAAGAAGATGCGTGCACATATACATCTACAGGTATCTCGACTTTCACACAGACATTACTTGTTTACAGCTAATACACATGGCCACAGATAATTTTCTTTTTCTTTCTTTCTTTTTTTTTTTTTTTGAGACGGAGTTTCAAATTTTCTTAACCCAGGTAGTCATGTGGCCTTTGTGGGTATCCTGGAGAGAATCTACCATTTCTGCAAAAGAATTTGAAAGAGAGAACTTGAGATCTAATATTTTTCCCATGTTTGATCTCATTGAGTTTGGGATTCACTGGCCAGCCTCTGAAGGGAAGACTGAATACCACTGCCCATGGGAATGCAGGCCTGCATTCCCCCGAAATTCTTCAGCCTTGGTATTTGTTCTGGCTTTGTTCCCGCCTTCGGGCGATGCCACGTACATAAAATGTGGCTGTTTCCTGCATAGCAGAATGAGGTTCCATCACTTCAGCAGCCACAGTCCTGAGTGCTTGCCTGAGAACCCTTGATTTATGATTGTGACAGGAAGTTTGGCGAGGAGGAACTGTGGGGGTGACATCAGCCATGCTTTGTGATTGAGGCCAGATTAAAAAACAGCAACTATTCCTTCCAGCCTGAGTTTCCATTTTAAGTTCTAACTGACATTCCAATGTTTTTGCAACAGAGAGGCTTCGTTTGCCCTTTTTATTTATTTATTTGTTTGTTTGTAGAAAGTGATTTATTTAAAGAGAGAGAGAAAAGGAGAAGGTGGGAGAAAGAAACAGCTAATTCTCACACTAAGTGAGACGATCCAGAAAGATGGAATCCAGGAGAGAAAAGCAGCTTCCACACTGAGTGGAAGGGAATCGAGAGATGGAGTTTAGGAGGGGAAGACAGGCTTCCACGAGACAGTGTGGAAGGGGACCCCAGAGGGGATATCCAGGAGAGAGAAAGATGGCTTCCACGAAGGGAGTGTTCGTGGAAGGGGACCCAAACATGGAGTCCCTGCTCTTTTTGTTTTCTTCTTCTTTTTCTTTTTTTCTTTCCCTGTGTCCCCCAACCCCTGACAATTCCTTCCCCTTTTTTCTTCCACTCGTTCATTCATTCATTTACTTATGTGTTGGACTCCCGCCATTTTTCAGGTACTAGAACGGATAGGCTTCTGCCTGTCTGCCTCTTGTTCTGTCTGCCTCCTCTCCCCACTATCCTGTTTATTCACCACTGCAATAGATAAATATTTTTATAGAAGGAGCTTCAGAGAAAGCAGAAGCTTTGTCTTTCAATCAGCTGAGAGTGGAGCTGAGCAGACCAAACCTACATGTTAGAAAGAAGAGACTTCTCACACCCACTTGAAGTATCTCTCCATGAGTGATTACCGCTTTTGGGCCCTGTGTGGCATCAGACAGCCCTCTCTTAAATTCCTGAAAACAATACTTGGCACTGAGCCTGGGCCCAACAAAAGTTTACTGAATCAATGAAACAAAGAAAATGAATGAATGCTAGAAAATGTCATCGTGGAAACAAGATAGGGCTACAGAGAAGCCGATGAATGTCACTGGCGATTAGCATTGCATGGAGGGGGATGGGAGGCATGGCAGGCAGCACCAGTGTTGGCCTTGTGGACAAGGAGGGATTTGGACATAAACAAATGGGCGGGAGGGCCTCGCATGCTGGGCACCCAGGGAACCCATGGCACAGAGAGAGGCAAAGCCCTGAACTGGCTCCAACCCTGTGTGCATGGAGTGTGGTTAGAGTTGGAGTCGAGAAAGGTGTGGCTTTGAATCCTACATCACCCTATGTTACCTGTGATCCCAACAGTCCCTAGGCTTCTATCTTTACATCTATTTCCTCACTAATGAAATGTAAATGTGGGCCTACAAACCCTGTACTGCAATTGTGAAATCCAAAAGTCCTAAAAGTCTTTTTTTTTTTTTTTTTTTTGATAAGTTTGCAGCTAACCCATTTTGTGGCAAAATCAGACCTGGGGTGGCTAAAGAAATTCTTTTTTAAAAAAATTTATTTATTATACTTTAAATTCGGGGGTACATGTGCAGATTGTGCAGGTTTGTTACATAGTATACTCATGCCATGTGGTGCTTTGTTGCATTCATTGCCCCATCGTCTACATTAGGTACTTCTCCTAATGCTATCCCTCACCAATCTCCCCACCCCCTGCTATTCCTCCCTTAGCTCCCCACCCCTCAGGCCCTGGTGTGTGATGATCCCCACTGTGTCCAGTGTTCTCACTGTTCAACACCCACTTATGAGTGAGAACATGCAGTGTTTCGTTTTCTGTTTTTGTGTCAGTTTGCTGAGAATGATGCTTTCCAGTTTTATCCATGTCCCTGCAAAGGATATGAACTCATCCCTCATCCCTCTCAGGATGAATAGCCCACACATCTCATCACAGAAATGATGGCGGTGTTTGAAGGTGGAGCTGCACTCCAGGTCTCCCCAGGGGATTGGGTGTTGTTTGCTGTCTGCTTCTCTGTTCATATATATATATATATATATATATATATATATATATAAAATTGCACTTTAGGTTCTGGGTACATGTGCAGAACCCATGCAGGATTGTTGCGTAGGTACATACATGGCAATGTGGTTTGCTGCCTCCATCCCCCTGTCACCTATATCTGGCATTTTTCCCATGTTATCCCTCCCCAACCTACCTACCCCCTGCTGTTTCTCCCCTACCCACCCAACAGACATCAGTGTGTGATGCTTCCCTCCCTGTGTCCATGTATTCTCATTCTTCAACACCCATCTATGAGCGAGAACATGTGTTTGATTTTCTGTTCTTGTGTCATTTTGCTGAGAATGATGGTTTCCAGATTCATCCATGTCCTTACAAAGGACACGAACTCATAGTTTTTTATGGCTGCATAGTATTCCATGGTGTATATGTGCCACATTTTCCTTGTTCAGCCTGTCATCGATAAGCATTTGGGTTGGTTCCAGGTCTTTGCTATTGTAAACAGTGCTGCAATGAACATACGTTTGCATGTGCCTTTATAATAGAATGATTTTTAATCCTTTGGATATATACCCAGTAATGGAATTGCTGGGTCAAATGGTATTTCTATTTCTAGGTCCTTGAGGAATTGCCACTCTGTCTTCCACAATGGTTGAACTAATTTACACTCCCACCAATAGTGTAAAAGTGTTCCTATTTCTCCACATCGTCTCCAGCATCTGTTGTCTCCAGATTTTTTAATGATCACCATTCTAACTGGTGTGAGATGGTATCTCAATTTGGTTTTGACTTGCATTTTTCTAATGACCAGTGATGATGAACATTTTTTATATGTTTGGTAGCCTCATTTATGTCTTTTGAAAAGTGTCTGTTCATGTCCTTTGCCCACTTTTGAATGGGTTTTTTTTTTTTTTCTTGTAAATCTGTTTTAGTTCTTTGTAGATTTTGGATATTAGCTCTTTGTCAGTTGGGTAGATTGCAAAAATTTTTTTCCCATTCTGTTGGTTGCCAGTTTACTCTAATGATTGTTTCTTTTGCTGTTGAGAAGCTCTGGAGTTTAATTCGATTCCATTTGTCTATTTTGACTTTTCTTGCCAATGCTTTTGGTGTTTTAGTCATGAAGTCCTTGCCTATGCCTATGTCCTGAATGGTTTCGCCTAGGTTTTCTTCTAGGGTTTTCATAGTGTTAGGTCTTATGTTTAAGTCTGTAATCTATCTGGAGTTAATTTTAATGTAAGGTTTCAGGAAGGGGTCCAGTTTCTGCTTTCTGCACATGGCTAGTCAGTTTTCCCACCCCCATTTATTAAACAGGGAATCCTTTCTTCATTGCTTGCTTTTGTCAGGTTTGCTAAAAATCAGATGGTTGTAGATGTGTGGCATTGCCTCTGAGGCCTCTGTTCTGTTCCATTGGTCTATATCTCTGTTTTGGTACCAGTATCATGCTGTTTTGATTACTGTAGCCTTGTAGTATAGTTTGAAGTCAGGTAGTGTGATACCTCCAGCTTTGTTCTTTTTGCTTAGGATTGTCTTGGCTATGCGGGCTCTCTTTTGGTTCCATATGGAGTTTAAGGTGGTTTTTTTCCCAGTTCTGTGAAGAAGGTCATAGGTAGCTTGATGGGGATAGCATTGAATCTATGAACTACTTTGGGCAGTATGGCCATTTTCATGATATTGATTCTTCCTAACCATGAGCATGGAATGTTTTTCCAACTGTTTGTGTCCTCTCATATTTCCTTGAACAGTAGTTTGTAGTTCTCCTTGAAGAGGTCCTTTACATCCTTTGTTAGTTGTATTCCTAGGTATTTTATTCTCTTTGTGGCAGTTGTGAATGGCAGTTCATTCCTGATTTGGCTCTCTTTAAGTCTGTTATTGGTGTATAGTAATGCTTGTGATTTCTGCACATTGATTTTGTATCCTGAGACTGCTGAAGTTGCTTATCAGTTTCAGGAGATTTTGGGCTGAGACGATGGGGTCTTCTAAATATACAATCATGTCGTCTACAAATAGAGACAGTTTGACTTCCTCCTTTCCTAAATGAATACCCTTCACTACTTTTTCTTGCCTGATTGCTCTGGCTAGAACTTCCAATACTATGTTGGATAGGAGTGGTGAGAGAGGGCATCCTTGTCTAGTGTCATACTTCTCTGTTCTTTTGAAAAGCCCCAGGGTGCTGGTAAGGGGTCCTGGCCTGGACCCGTGCATAGATGAGATTAGCATTGCATTCTGTACATTTTAGTGCCTAATAAAAATCAGCTTTCTTTGCTAATATTTTGTTTGTTTACTTTGAAAACCTGACTAGATTTAAGCTGTTAGGGGTCTGAATAAATGACTGACATTTTCAAGGCACAAAAAGCAGTAATTTTTCTTTTGCTGAAAGCACATTCAGAATGCCAGTGGAGAGAGCACTCACTGAGGCCTCTCCCCTTCCTCACCCCTTTCCCTTCCCTTTCCCAACAGGAATCTCTCTGCTCAGCTATGACGCATCTGTACCTTCTGTGCCCATTGCCACCCATGGCCAGCTGCTGGGCAGGTCCCAGGCCATCCAGGTGGGCACCTCATGGAAGCAAGTGGACCAGTTCCTTGGAGTTCCATATGCTGCCCCGCCCCTGGCAGAGAGGCGCTTCCGGGCACCGGAGCCCTTGAACTGGACAGGGTCCTGGGATGCCAGCAAGCCAAGGTATGGGTTGAGTGGAGTACATGTTGGTAAATGCTCAGAGAAGCCTTATCTATTCTAATCTATCAAAGTAAGTCTCAGTGGTAGAGCAGTGCATTTTGGATAAAGCAATATATGGAGGATGGAATGTATTGGCTAAGGTATTATTAAGTGCTGTGACAGATAAACTCCCAAGTATCAGTGGCTTAATGGTGTTTTGCTCATGTAAAGCCCATCTGGCGATGGAGGGGCCTGTATGCTCTGCTCCACGCAGTGATTCAGGGACCCACACTGATGGAGGCTCTCCTTTCTTCAGCATGAATTTTCCAAGGTCCCCCTGGACATTGATCCAAGAAGAGAGGCTTTAATTGACAGGAGAGGTTCCCATGAGATAAACCCGGAAATGGGGTTCACATATCACTTACACAGGTATTGCAGTGGCCAAGCTCAGCTTCCTGGCCACATCTGATCTTAATGAAGCTGGGAGACACAGAACTGAAGGAAAAGTAAATGTGCTAATGAAATTTTTTCCCACTAGGAACAAAATTACTAGTTTTGTTTTTTAAAAAAGTACCCATCTTCTTTCCTCATCAAAAATTTCAGTTTTTCCTATCTTTTCCATGTGTATACCACTTTAAATAGCAAGCATATTAAAGAACAATATTGTGATTTTTTTCTAATTAAAGCATACTCAGAGTACCTGTGAGAACAGCACTTATTACTGCTGCTCTTCCCCTCCCCACCTGAATCTCCTTCTTAACAGGTACCTATACTCAGGCAGCTGCACCCTCCATACTCATTATCCCCATGGCTGGCTGCTGAGCAGGCTCATGAGTCCATAACCAGATAGAGTGATGAGCTAGGAGGCTCTTGAAGTACTCCAGGAAAGGGATGATGAGGATGAGACTTCAGCTAGGATGGCGGCAGTGGGAGTGCAAAGGCATGGATTTCCATCTGCTCCACCACTGGGAAACAAAAATAACAAATATTCATGAGTCAGAGTACCTTACCATGTTAGGATGTACCCATTTTGACAGATGAAGTGACGGAGTCACATAGGTTTTGAGTGGAGAGTAGTTGAGAACTTGGGTCATTGTAGTCCAGGGCTAGTGAAGTTTGGGTGATGAGTCACATCACCCATTGGGTAGATGACCATTGCACTGCCATTAGGCATGGTCACAGCTTTAGTCTCAGTTCCTATACTGGGAGATGCTCAAACTGGCACTCTAGGACTCTGTACTGGTGAAGAGAGCAGGTAGGACACCCCCTCCAGAGGAGGGTCTACACTCTTGAAGCAAGGAAGGGGCAAGGTCCTGAGTGGTTTCATTGTCTTCTTCTCTATCTTGAGCTGTTGCGTCAGCAGCCTTCTCTAAGTTGGTGCATTGTCTCTGGGGAATGTTCCTCCACAGGCCGGTGGCCAGAGAGTGGTGGGCACTCTGCCATTCCTTCCATTCACTGCCACTCCCATTTACTGAAGCTGCCTAATTTCTGCAGGGCTGGTGGGACGCCAGGCTTTGGAATGGGGTAGTGGGCTCTGACCATGGTGGCGGGTGGGAGGGGTGATGGAGCATGTCTTGGAAGTCACCCATTCTGTATCTGCAGGGCCAGCTGCTGGCAGCCAGGCACCCGAACATCCATGTCTCCTGGAGTCAGTGAAGATTGCTTGTATCTCAATGTGTTCATCCCTCAGAATGTGGTGAGTTCAGAAGCACTTGCTATGGTTGCCCTGAAGACTCTCCCACTAGAAATCCACTGTCCCCACAGTGTCCAGCACAGCCCAGTCTCCTCCTCTGTGGTCCGCCGAGCTGAGTTTAGGGGATTTGCCTAAGGTCATTCAGCCAGTGGGTGATCTACGGACTTGGTCAGTTGGTCCTCAGAGCTCGTGGCTAGAACCAGTGAGTGGTGACCATGAGTGTGTGCTTTTCCCATAGTGTCAGGAGCAAGACTGTGAAATTGGCTTGCGGTTTAAAGAGCACTTTTTTATCTTTGATTTTATTCGTCTTCACATCAACTCTAGGAGGATAGATAGATGATAGATTGATCAATCCATCAATTGATAGAAAAATATAGAGTGATAAATTTACCCTTATCTTAAAGGTGCAGACCTGGGGCTAAGACAGGCTAAATGACGTACATAAGGACACTTAGTTGGGCAGAGTGGAGGCTCATCCCTGTCACCGTGTTCCAAAGCCAGTGCTCTTTTCTCCTTAGGGCAGTTCCCAGTAAAAGAGAGTTTGGCTTTTTCTGCCTTAGGCTGTCTGGGCCCCATCCTGACCTTGGGAGAGGAGCAGTGATGCCTCAGCCCAGATGGGCAGTACCTGCTCCCCAGGTGACAGGCCCTGCGCAGGAGGGGCCAGCATCCTGGACACTTCCTGTGGCTGTCATTGAGGTGGGAGCTGAGGACTGCCCCTCCTTTCTGTGCCTTGCCCTTGCCTCAGCAGCCACAAGCCAAAAGGCCTTTTCTCTTGCTGGCAAGCTACCCAATAAACATAAGTCTGGGCACTTTTAGGAGGGGGATACTGGGCTCCTTCACTGATCTGTTCCACAGACCAGGACAAATGAATCCAAGACCACTCAAGCTGGCCTTTCTCTGTCGCATTTAAAAAGACCTCATATTTGAAGAATCCACATCTGAACTGGAATGTCACAGAGGAAGAGACTAGGGGAGTGCCAGGAAGGTGGGTCAGGGTTCAAAATTTCAGGTCAGCCCCTTCCTCTCTGTAAGGCATTTCCATGGGTGACTTCACTGCTCTGCACCTCTGCTTTCACAGCTGTGGAGTGGGGTGCTTATGGCCACCATAGCTTCTACCTCCTTGGGTGGAAGATCAAATGAGACACTCTAGGAGGGAGCCTTTAGCCAAGCCCTTATAGGGGCAGGTCCTAGGTCAGTGTTTGTTCCTGTGACGTGGCCACTTTATAGAAACATCTGTGTGTCTGTCTGAGGCCATCATACATGGAGCAGAGATGTCACAAGGAATCAGGATCCTGGATGGATCATGAGTCACCTGGTACCCGCCTATGCCCTGGCCTGGAGTAGGGCCTCAGATTCCCCAGCTTGGACACATGATTCTAAGAGAATAGGGTCAGCCTACTCCCAGACCTCAGCTCTGCTACCTCCTAGCTGTGTGATCTCAGGCAAGCCAATGAAAATGTCTAAGCCTCTGCCTCTTCATCTGTAAAATGGGGGCAGTAAGAATCTGCCAACTTCACAGAACTGTTTGAGGCACCATTGTAAGCACTGGATACAGTGCCTGGCTCTTAGTAAGAGCATAATGAGCTCTAGCTCTGTGTTACCAGGATGAGTCCAGCAAGGGAAGCATCCAAGGGAAAGGGGACGCCAAGGGCCCAGAATGCTTTTCTGGAATAAACCATGGGCCAGAACTGGGAGCTGAAAGTCTGTGTGGTACCATGAGACGGGCTCCAGGTCTTCAGGGAGCTGCCATCCCTGACACCTGCTCACTCTGTAATGTGAGAAGTGTCTTCACCTTTTCTGACCTTCAGTTTCCTTCTCTATGGATGGGGTTTAATAGTTTGCCCAGGCTGCCATAGCAAAGCACTGCAAGCTGCGTGGCTTAAACAACAGAGATTTTTCTCACTAGAGACAGAAGTCCAAGATCAAGGTATTACAGGATTGGTTCCTTCAGAGGCTCCTCTCCTTGGCTTGTAGATGTTCCTCTTCTCTTCCTTGTGTCTTTATGTGGCCTTCCCTCTGTGCCTGTGTCCTGACCTCCTCCTCTTATAAGGACACCAGCTCTATGGGATTAGGGCTCACAAGTATGACTTCATTTTACCTTAATTACTTCATTAGGCACTATCTCCAAAATACGGTCAACTGCTGAGGTCTTGGGGGCTAGGACTTCAATGCATAAATTCGGAGAGACACAGCTCCATCCACCGCGTGGGGCTAAGTATGCCACAGGGTTGGCCAGAGGAGTTCTGTGCTGACCCAGAATCAGGCTCCAGGCTTGGGAAATATGCCCTCCCCATGCTCTAGCCTCATGTTCCTCCAATTCCCACAGGCTCCAAACACGTCCGTGCTGGTGTTCTTCCACAACACCATGGAGGGGGAGGGGAGTGAAGGATGGCCGGCTATCGACGGCTCCTTCCTGGCTGCTGTTGGCAACCTCATCATGGTCACTGCCAGCTACCGAGTGGGTGTCTTCGGCTTCCTGAGTTCTGGTGAGTTGCTGCCTCTGGTGGGAGCTGCTGACCCCCTGAGCCAAGGCTCAGCCTCTTTTTTCTCCAAGCCCCATCCCCTGCTCCTCCTCCTGCTCCTCCTCCAGCCAAGCTAGGCACACAGTGGAAATTTTAGCACATTTAGGAGACACTTTGGGGATACTGACACCTGTAGACAAGGATGATAGTTTCCACTTATTGAGAACTTACTTCATGTCCTAGCTGCTCCAAGTCCACCACGGTTCTTACCTTGTGATGTATATGTATGTGTGAGCATGTAGTTTAAAGAGAAAATTGAGGTCCACTTAAGATTATACAGTCAGGAGCAGCAGAGCCAGGAATTGACTTGCCCTGACCAACCTTAGGGGATGAATTATAGCTCTTCTGCCCACAGGAAAACCATCTGATTTGGAATCAGAGCTGTGTAAATAAGGAGATTCCCACCTCCCTTTAATACTGGCCTCACTTGTGAACAGTGGCCTGTCCCCTATCACAAACCTGTTGATCACCCCGTCCATGTCCTCCACCCTCCCCACTGACTGCAGGGCAGAACTGAGCCCTGGAGCAACCCAAACATCTTCCATCCACGTCTTTTCCTCCAGCTGTTACCTGCCGCAGGGAGTGTGACGGCTGCAGTGATCAAGGCAGAGTTACTGCCTTGGAATCTGAAGAGCCCAGGGCCACCTCTGCCACTCTTTGGCTGTGGGCCCTTGGACAAAACCATTCTTTCACCCAGTCTCAGTCTTGTCCTCTGTAAAATGGGGATAATTTTACCTGACTTCCAAAGTTACAGTGAGGCTCAAACGAGGAACATGTGAAAGGGTTTCAGAGACTTGAGTTTTATACATCTTTGAAGATAGTGACTGCTTCATCTCTGTTTTCCAAGGGTCTCCTTTAAGATCTGAGATGTTCTGTGTGCTGAGTACGGGTGGGTGAATGGAAGATAGGCTGGTCAGAATGATCAGCTGGACTAGAATGTGTGTGAGTGTGTGGGGTAGGCATCCAGCATGAGCAGAAACTTGGATGACCACATGGCGTGAGGCCTTGGATGCTGCTAAGAAGATTCTAGATGTATGAAATGGGCAACAAGTTAAGGCAAAATATAAGCAGATGTCAATGTAGGAGACGAGCGTGAGAAACAGATTTCAGATGCTTTTGATGGGGAGCAGGCTCAGCTGGGAATCCAAGGACAGATATAGCTTCCCCTTTCCTGGCTCCGAGAGACCCTGGGTCTCTCATTCGGCCTTTCTAAATCCCAGTTTTCTGGCTGGGAAAATGAGGAAAATTAGCCCCACCCTCTTTCACATATATGCGGTGGTAAGAAGCAAATTTGGTGACTGGGGTTTTGTGGAAGCCCTTTGAAGAGTGTTTAAACAATCATTCACATGTGAGCTTATTTTCCTCTTTGAGGAGAGAAACCTCTTTGCCTGGGTTTGCTTTCCTCTGTGTGAACACAAGACTGACCATGATTTGTGCCATCAGTAGCCCCTTCCTCTAGAGGTGGTGATATCAGGACTCGCCCCAAGGAGCCTGGGCCTGGGGAACTTTTCCCAGACATGGCTGCCTTGTTGGCTTAGAGCATTTCTAGACAGAAGAGAGCGAGTTTCTGTATGCCGTCTGTCCCTCAGTGGGTGGGGAATTATGATTTCACAGAGTATAATCTTATTGAGAATTCATGTGCTTCTGGAGAGGCAAATTCATTTTGGCTGCCGGCAGGGACAGTCTGTGGGGAGGTGACAGAAGCTTCCAAAACACCAACCCTGCTCATTCCTGACATGCACTAAGCCTGCCTGTTCATTTTGCTCAAGGGAAACACCATCAGCAAGAGAGAAGGAAAGTTACACTTACAGAGTGTGTCATCTTCACCAGATATTTCTCCTGGATTACCTCATCTATTTCTCACAGGAGATCTCTGAGGCCAGCAGGGAGCGGCCATTTCATAGATGGGTCAGCGAAGCTCAGTGAGGCTAAGGAACGTTATCACCACAGTCACAAGTGGCTTCCTGGGCCTTAAACTCTGTTGGTGGAACAACAAGAAATACTGTTTTGCAGCCGGCTCCCTCAGATGGCTGGACACGTCCCTTCAGTTCCCTGTTTTTCAGTTATGCTGAGCAGGGTCCGTCTCTTGCATTCCTTTAGCCATAGGCCAGTTTATTTCTTTTTTTAAAAAGAATTTAAGTTCCACAATACATGTGCAGATCACGCAGGTTTGTAACATAGGTATACATGTGCTATGGTGGTTTGCTGCACCCATCAACCTGTCATCTAGGTTTTAAGCCCCACATGCACTAGGTATTTGTCCTAATTCTCTTCCCCCCCTTGCCTCCCATTCCCTGACAGGCCCCGGTGTGTGATGCTCCCTGCCATGTCCATGTGTTCTCACTGTTCAACTCTCACTTATCAATGAGAACATGCAGTGTTTGGTTTTCTGTTCCTGTGTAGTTTGCTGAGGATGATGGCTTCCAGTTTCATTTGTGTCCCTGCAAAGGACACGATCTCATTCTTTTTTATGGCTGCATAGTATTCCATGGTGTATATGTGCCACATTTTCTTTATCCAGTCTATCTTTGATGGGCATTTGGGTTGGTTCCAAGTCTTTGCTATTGTAAATAGTGCTCCAATAAACATATGTCTAGAACCAGAAATACCATTTGACCCAGCAATCCCATTACTGGGTATATACCCAAAGGATTATAAATCATTCTACTGTAAAAACACGGGCCATTTTCTTTGCCTTCCTTCTTAGCCCGTCTTGTGTGTCCTACATTCCCAGTCTCTCACATTGCTCTTCCCTGCTCTTGAGCTCTGAGAGGGGAGCAAAGACTTTCACGTCCTCATCAAATCAATCAGGAAAGTGAGGCACAGAGACAGAGGGAGGGCAGAGCAGCAGCAGCAGCAGAGCCGTGATGCAGACTCAGGCTTCCTGCTATGAAGGAGCTGTCTCCCGCCTGCTTCGGGCAAGATCAGAGACAGGACTGAGCCTGGCCATGCAGAGGGCAACAGGAAGCAGGTGCTCACCTCTGGAAGCACAAAGGGGCCAGCCTTGATCCCAGTTAATCCCCCAATAAACCTGCCACACGGGTGCAACCGTTCCCTCTTTCATATTTTTTAAGTACTAGATTTTATTATTTAGAGCTGTTTTAAGTTTATAGAAAAATTAAAAATTAAACATAAAGGACAAGGAGTTCCCATACACTCCCTTCTCCCCCTCCTTCTTCCCCTACTATTGATTAATAAGGTGCTTTGGTTGGGCGCATGTGTTACATTTGATGAGCTGATGGGTGGTGCGTTATGATTTACTGGAGCCCACAGGTTACCTTGGGGTTCATCCTGTGTGTTGGATGCTCCCTGGGGTTTGCAGGCTGCCTGGTGTCCTGGATCCACCGCTACAGGGTCCCACAGGATCATTTCACTGCCCTCCAACTTTCCTGTGCTCCACCTCTTCGTTTGTCCCTTTTTCCACTTTAAGTCATTGCAAATTGCAGTTCAGAACATAAGCCTGGAAAGAGCTAGTTACCTTGCATGCCACCCTCAGCCTGGGATTCTGCAGGGAATGCAGGTTTACATCTGAGCAGGATGGGGTCTCAGGGCTGCTCTGTGGCTCTGCAGGGCCGGGACTCTGAGCAACTCCTTCCTTCATGCCAGCACAGGCTACCCATCTGTCAGTGAAGGATGCTAAGCCTTGCAGGGCGACTCGTGTGAGATGAAGTGTGTGAGGACAAGCACCAGGACTCACCCATGTTCATTCCCACTTTCTTCTCTAGACAAGGGCTCTTCCAAGACAGGGATGTGTTTTTATCATTTCCTGGCCCGGTATCTGGCCAGTGTCTCTTGATCTTAGCAGAGGCAGCCCTGTCACTCACAGAGCCAGGCTGAACAGTGCCTCATGAGCATCATCTCACTTGATAAATGTGTGCCGGATCTGCTGCTGTTTCCCAGAATGAAAGTGGTCCCTGAGAGCCCAGACTCCAGCGGTACTTTGTGAAAGAGACCAGAGGAAAATGAGAGCAGAAGCTTGTGCCGGTCCTGAGGCCCACTAGACAAACATGTGCCCTCTGCTGATAGAACGCAAGCCCAGCCCAGTAGTTAAAGGGAGCCTTGGTTCCTGTTGATGTGAGCAGTTAGAAAGGAAGCAGTTGCTGGGCGAAAGGAGGCCATTTCCCTAAGCCTGGGCCCTGCAGCAGGATACCCCAGAGGGCATCTGGCCCCAAGTCATTCTTCCTCTCTGGCAAAGCAAGGCAGTGAAGGGAACCGGGGCAGTGGCGTCTGGGACAGAGGATGAGAGGCTGGACAAGGGCCCTATGGACTCTGTGGGGGTGTGGGAGCAGAGGAAATGTGCTTTGGCCAGGACACCAGACAGAAGGCCCGGCTGCCAACGGTAACCACACACTGCCATGACCTCACCGTCTCTGGGACACTCAGAGGCCTGCTGAGCAGGTCTGCTGTCCTCTCTACCCAGAACAGGCACAGAATGCTGCCCCAGCAGGTGCCCCTTCACAGGCAGGCTGGACACAAGGACATTCTGCCGAGAGCATCAGTGATAACATGTTAGAACCTAAACCTGTTCTAATTTATGAAAAATTAATCTTCTATAGTGCTTTCTGACAAGTGCTGTTTAACCTTACAAATATTCACTAATTTACTCAACCTTACGTGGAAGTGCTAATATCATCTCCATTTTACAGACGGGGAAAGTCAAAGCACACAAACATTATTAGCTTGTCCAGGCCCTCTCAGGGCTAAAATGGTGGAGCTGGGACTGCAACCAGCTGGTCTGGCTCCATGGACACTACATGGACACTGCCTCTTGTTGATGGTCTCTGGCAAGACCAGGGTGAGCCCAGAACGGTGCTAAGGGGCTTCTGTGAGATAGTTGAAGAGATCGAATGAGCAAACAAGAGCCAATTAGACAATGAGGGAGCAGGTGAATGCTTGCCGGGTGCTCTGAGCAGAGGAGTAGGAGCCAGGAGGTACAGGGGCAGCTCAGGGTGGGCGACAGTGGATGGAGAAGTGTTAGGGCAGGCGTGGAGGGCTTCCATTCAGGCCACTTATCCCTGTGGGCAGCCGGGAGCAGTCCTCTGACATCTTGCCCCTGGGCCCGATCCTCAAAGACATAAGCAGAGGCACAAAGTGTGTGTGTGGCATGACTGAGTGAGGTGGGACCTGAGGATGAGAAGTGGAGCTTAGACACACAGACTGCAGCTGAGGGGGCAGCCCCTGGGCAGTGATGGGGTCCCAGACTGATCAGACAGCTTCACAGCGCGTTTAGAAGGTCAGAAAAGCCAGGAATAAGTTTGGACTTGATGCAGTAGGAATGAGGGAAGTATAAAGGCTTTTTGAACAGAGAAAGTTTCAGAAATAAAGCACTGAAATGTCTTAATGTACATCATAGATTTTACAACAAACATTTGTTGAATTGGGTTGAATGTTAGGATAGAATTCTGATTGTGAATTAGGATTTGAGTCCCAACTTGATCTCAGATTCACTTCTTGCATCTAAACAAGCTCGTTCCCTCTAAAGGTTCAGTTTCTTCACCAGTAAAGGAAAAGGGTGAACCAGACATGTTGGACCATAATTGCTTGTTAACTGCCTTCTGCGTTTCTCTGAGGTTGTGTGTCCCTAGGGCTAGGTGGCATCTCTCTTGCTTTCTGCCATACCTAGCGCAGTGCCTTATACCAGCTGAAGCCCAGTCATACTTGTTTAATGAGCGGCCCCCTGAACATATGCTCACTTCTGACCTCTCAGAAGTCTAGACCCTGGAAGTCAACACTGACCCTTATTGTTTAGTGGGAAGCTGATACATGGGAAGTGAGAGTCAGGAACATGTCCTCTCCTCCTTGTCCCTGGAATACAGGTTGTGGCTGTCACTTTCCAGATTTGCAGGACTTGGTCTGACTCAGTTGATGCCCTGCTTTCCTGGGCTACCTCAGACTTTGGAGGGAACAAACACATTCATCCTAACAAATGGGACATACAAGCAATCCAGAAAGTTCACAGGGAGGATCATGTTCTACCAATGGCTTCACCAGTCCCAGAACACAAAATGCATTTGAAGAACTTCTGAGCGTCTCTACAGCTGGAAGAATAATTTGTATTGTTCTTGTACTCTGAGCTAAGTGGAGTGCTCAGGCAGGCTGGAGACAAGGACACTCTGCTAAGAGCATCAGTGATATCATGTTAGAACCTAAACCTGTTCTATTTCATGAAAAAATAATCTTCTGTAGTGCTTTGTGACAAGCACTGTTCTGCTCCTCTTACAAATATTCACTAATTTACTCAACAACCTTATGAGGAAGGGCTGTTATCACCTATTATCACCCCCATTTTACCAATGGGGAAAATCAAAGCATACAAATAACTTATTCAGCGCTCCTCAAGGCTGTAAATGGAGCTGGGACTGCAGCCAGCTGGTCTGGCTCCATGGTGAGACCATCATGTTCCCTTCAACTTTGTGAATGCTAGACTGGGGAATCAGGATGCAAGATTTTTCTGTTTTTTCTTTTCTTCTTTCCTACTTGGGAATATGGGGTCTTATCAGTAGTTTCTTGCTGGATGCTAAATCCTGTAAATCATAACTATCATGCCTCATGGAGAAACATGAGGAATTTGGAGCCCGGGGAATGGGCTGTGCTGCTGACACACACAGGACTGTTGCCAACATGTAGGTGCTAATGAAAGCCATGGAATCTGACGAGGTTCCTTAGCGCAAAGTCAGAAAAGAAGAGTGGGAAGCTCAGATGAAATGAGAATGAGGCCTGGTGTTTCAAAGTCTGATAAAGAGGACAAGTTAGTGGAGTAGTTTGACAAGAAGGATCTACTGAATTCACAGCACAACCAGAAGTCTATGTAGTGTCAAAAAGCTAAGGAGAAGACCATATTTGTGCTATACTTTCATCTAAATCATTTTATTAAAAAACATAGTGCTGAGTTTTTAATAAATGTTAATTGGATTCTATGAAAAGGGAAAGAGATCAACTTAGTTGCATGCTAATAAAGGCTTCAGATGATGAGGCGAGGGAAAGGGTGGGATCCAGAACCCCAGTATGGCCTGGCCACGGTCAGGGACAACCACCTGCAGGGGTCAAAGACATGGAGCAGAGAGTTCACCTCCTTCCCATTGACAGGCCAAGCTAGTGGTGGAACTGAAGATGTACTGCCTCTAATCTGAGCAACTCCCCTCAGCTAGTGACAGGGAAGCGGTGGCTCAGAGAGTTATAGACATGATCCAGGTCTCCTAGTTGGCAAAAGAGAGGTACAGGGACAGGATCAAGGTCTCCTTACTGGCTAGCATTCAGGCCTGCGTGTGTCTGCTTTCAAAGCCCATGCTCCTCCACTGTTCCTCACTTTCCTCACTGTGTTTGGAGCCCATACTCCTGACCTGTGACCTGTGAGGACAAGAGCCCATAACTCCTGGAGGGGCCACATGCCTGCCATGGACATTACCATGATTGTCAAATCCAAGGTTGCAAAGTCACAAGGGTAAAAGGCTTTCCTCTTTTCTAAAGGGTCCGGAGAAGTGAGTGGCAACTGGGGGCTTCTGGACCAGGTGGCAGCTCTGACCTGGGTGCAGACCCACATCCGAGCATTTGGCGGGGACCCTCGGCGCGTGTCCCTGGCAGCAGACCGTGGCGGGGCTGATGTGGCCAGTATCCACCTTCTCACGGCTAGGGCCACCGACTCCCGACTCTTCCGGAGAGCTGTGCTGATGGTGAGTGGTGTGTGTTCTATCTTCAGTCTTACTGTAGATGTGGCTAGGGAGGTGGTTCTCCTGTGCCTTGAAAGTCTAGTTGGCTTTAATTGCTGGGGTTTCCCTTGTCCTTTGTCCTGAGTGTGGATTCTGCTTGGAGTTTTCCATGTTTGTGTGATTCCAAGATGCTGAAGAGCTCCCCTGACTTTTTTTCCCTCATGTCTAAAGTGCTAAAAATTTTAGATGGCGAAGTGTTTCTGTTTCCTGAGAGTGGTTCATTAAGGTTTCCTTTGCATGGAACAGTTTTTCCACATCCCCCTCTTTGCCTGCCCTACTTTTCCTTTAGAGAAGCCTTCCTGACTTTTCAGCCTAGAGCTGAGCCCTCTTTATATGGCTTGTGCTGCCTGTAGGTCCCCTGTGCAGCATTTACCAGGATTTCCAAAGTAAGTCATTGCTCTTAAGTGCCGATGCTGCTGCCTCACAAGACTGCAAGCTCCAGCAGAGCAGGGGCTGGGTGTGTCTTGCTCTCCACGAGACCCTGAGCAACCCACACAGCACATCTGATAGTCTGTGGATGCGCTGTAATTATTGTGGGGCAGCAATGAGCAGATGACTGGGGGAGAGTTCAACTGTTGTTCTCAGGGCCCAGGGACCCACAGGATATACCAGCTCCCTCCCTCCGTCACCTTTCTGTGAGTCTTATCCTTTGATCCCAATTTTCTTCAATCCATCCCTCTGATATTGATCCATCTCAGTGGCAGTAGAACTGAGCACAAACATCTTTCAATTCCTGGTATTGAGAACAAACCATCCTGCACTGAGTTGATCCTGGAGCGATTTGTCCAGGGCCCTTTCAGAAACCAGACACTCATTAGGACCCAGAAGATGCCAAAAATACCTTCCAATAGGCTCAGAAAGCAGATTTTTCTTTTTGAGGGTTTAGGTGTTTGGGGAATTTCAAATACTAATCTGTTTTAACAAATGGCAGTGTATTTAAAAATAAACCTTCCATCTGTTTTAGTCATTTGGAAGCAGCTTTTACAACTGCTCCCAGCAGTCCTCGGGATGCATGTGAAATTATTTGGAATTGAGAGAACTAAAATACTTCAATATATTAGCGGTTCTTAAATGTGTTTTTTATCAACAGATGTTTGGGGAAATGAATGTGAGTTGGCAATTTATTCTGGGATAAAATCTTAAGTCTCTCTGCAAATCTTGGGGCCAGAACTGTTGAAACATTGGTCAAGGGAAATCCTGTGATGATAATGAATAACCTGTATTCATTCAGCACTTTTGAGACCACAAAGCACTTTCAGTGTCTTATCTCACAGATTCCTCACGTTGATTGGCAAGGGGACTTTATTTTATTTTTCAATCTAGAGATAAAAAATCTGAGGCTCAGAAGATTTAGTGACCTACCAAAGAACACACAACAAGGAAGAAGCTGCATTAAGGACTAGAAGCTAACGCTAAGTCCTATATTTCCCCACTCTGAGGCTGCCTCTCTGGGAATTTGGGGCTCTCTTGGGATCTCAAGGTGTAAGATAAAGAGCCACCAGATAGGCCTGCCATGAGATAGCCATCAGATAGATCTTGGTCTTGGAGAAAACACTTCACCTTGTATTCTTCACCTATCAAATCAAATCCATGTGATTAATTCTATTTCCCAAGGTCTCGAGATATTATCAGGACTTACGGTTTGTAAAGTGTCCTGCGTAACCTAGGAACTCAAGAAATCCAAGCTCCTTCTTCCCTCTTCCGTTGCCAAGGGAAGGCAGCTCCAGACAGAAGTACATCCTAGGGCATTTCACCTGTCCTGGGGCCGGGTTGGAGGATGAAGAGTGACTTGTTGCAAACATGCCTTCTGCAGCTCTGTCCCTGGACAGTCTTAAGACAGGGGAGGTCTTGTCCTCTGGGGTATGATTCACGGACCCAGAAAACATTTCCCTTGCTGTCCTGTGACATCGCCCCAAGTCTGCATTCCTTGGGGTGAACTCCTGGCCTCAGGCATCGGCCTCAAGCTAAATTGTTCTGTCTTGTTTCTTACTCCATTCCCGCATGAATCCTACACTTGAGGATCTGTGGCTATCACCCTTCTGAGGAAATGCCATGCCTTCCTCCAGGCCTTCTTAACTCTGTTCTGTGTTCAGCATATCCGGTATCCGCCTGGAAGCTTCCTGCTGTCCTTTGGGGATCAGCTGGAATGAGGCCTCCAAACCTTTCCTCATCTCTTGAAACAGAGGAAAGAATCTCACCTTAGTGAAAAGACCTATATTTAGTAATTCTTAGAAACTGTGTCTTATTTTACATGCTTATTATTTTTCTAACATCTCTCATTCCAATTCTATTATGACCGGGTGCTTGAAAACGTACGTGAGCGTAATCCTCTTAGTGTTTCCTTAACACTTAGCACAGCATTTGGTTCAGAGACATGCTGGGTTCCACCAAAGTGATGAGCGAGGTGGTAGTTTGGGCTCAGAGCACTGTTCTCTATTGTTTTTGCAGTATATCTCACAGTGTGAGCATGCAATGCTTGTCTGTTCAGAATCCACCAAACTATTCCTGAGTTTTGATGCTTCCATGTATATTTTAGAATAAGTTTATTGAGGTTTTATTCTAATATTTTTGCTGGGAGTTTGAGTGACATAGCCTTGATCATTAATTTCAGAAAAAAAATCTACACTGTCATGATGTTAAGCTTTGCCTTGATGAATCAGGTAAACACTGTAACCATGGGTATAGTAGTTTTGCCTTGTTAGGTCTTTTCATACAGTTCTGAACATTTCTAGATAAAAGTTTTGTGAAACCATTGTGAGGCAAGTTCCTACACGTGCTGTCATTTGGGGGGCCTTGTCAACACTGTCTTCTTTTCTATTGTATTTTTCAGTTTGAAAATACTTGTGTTAGGAAATAAGTTGATTCAGCAACTTGCTGAGCTGTTTTGTCGTATCTGATTCTTTGTCTATTGGTTTCTTTGGGTTTTCTATGAATTTTCCTCATTCTGCAAATAATGGTGGGTTCATTTCTATACCTGTTGGAGCAAAATGCTCAGCTGATACAAGAAGGAGACCCAGTACTAAAGCAGCTTAGTAGATAAATAAAGTTCCTTCTCTCTCTCTCTCTCTCTCTGTCTGTCTCTCTCTATCTCATACCATCAGCCAAGATGGGCAGTCCAGGTGTCTCTGGATCACTCAGGTCTCTGGTTTCTTCAGGATATTTCTCTGCCATTTCTTAAGGGCTTCCTCATCTGCAGGGTTAGAGTTTGTGCTGCCAGGGGTTCCAGATGGCAGGAAGAGGATGGAGAGGAAGGAGGACCACACCTGCCACCTTAGGTCTTTGCTGGCAAGGGATACACTCTGTCTTCAGGTATAGTTACAAGTAGAACTGCATTTGATTTGTGTTTGTTGTCCCTCATCTTTCTTGATCATTCTTGTTCATATTTTTATCACATTAGTCTACTTCAACAATGTTTTGCTTTTTAAAATCTTCTCTATGTCTGTGTTTTAAGAAGTCTGTTTCATTGATGTCTTATTATTATCTTCTGCTTTCTTCCCGTTTCCTTGGCTATCTGTTGTTCTTTCAGCTTCTTAAGTTGAAAATTAATCTCATTACTTTCATTCTTTGTTTCTTGAATTTATTTCAAGCGATAATTTGCCCTCTCACTATTTTATCAGCTACACCCAATACATTTTGGAAATTAGCAATATGTCATTTATTTCTAATATTTTATTTATTGCATTATTTTCTTCTTAGCCTAAGGATTTTTTTTTAGACTTTAGATCCCTAGTGTTTTTAAATTTTTATTTATCGTTTTGAAATTTGATTTCCAATTTTATTGCTTTATTATCATACAGCATGAATTGGAGGATGCTGACTCTGAAGTTTATTAGGACTTTCTCTGTGACCTAATATATTACCCATTTGTTGGCAAATAAGTTATATAGTGTTATCAAAATCTATCTACCTATATATTTATTTACTTATCATTGCTTACTATATCAGTTTCTGGGATTTGTGTATTAAAATATCCAAATAAAATTATTAATTGATCTATTTTCCCATGTTGCAGTTGTGTAATCTATTTTGATACTATATCATCCCATTAACTTAGGTGCAATCATCGTTCCTTCTTAATGTATTGTTGCTTCTGTACATCTCTCTTTGCCCTTATGTAGTTTATTTTGACCTTAAATCCCACTTTTTCCTCAAAATGCACCACATAATATCCTTTTGTTCATTTTTGCATTAATTTTTTTTTTGCCCCTTTAATTTCAAACTTTGTGTGTCAATAGGCAATACAATGATGGAATTTTAAAGATGTGCCCTCCACACAGCATGATCTTTTAAATATATCAGTGAAACGATATTACCACCTACTTGGATCCTTTCAGTGGCTCTTCATGTCTCTTAGAATGGGCCCTATGCCACTCCGTATCTTCCAGGGCCCGCCCTGCAGGACCTTTCTCATACCTCCTAAGGCCCCTCGCTCCTTCCCTAGCTGCCTTGGCCTGGCCACCCTGGCTTCTTTTAGCTTCGTCAGCGCGCAGTCTTGCTTCTCCTGCCTGCAGGAATTGCCCCATTATTCTGCTGACTCCATAGACTTCCTAGATCTTTACATGACTGTTTGCTGCTCACCTTTCAGGCCTCAGCCCAAACATTGCCTCTGCTTGGAGGCCTTTCCTAAGCCTGGGCCTGAAGGCCACCCTGCCTGGCAGGCGACTTCATTGGGGCCTGCCCTCATCCTCATCACCACCATCACCAAGCGTCTTGTCTGTTTATGTCGAGCTCCATGATATCAGAGACCTCATCTGCTTTCATTGCTACAGCCCCAGTACCCGAGCAGTGTCTATTTGGTAGGTGTCCAAAAATCTGCAGAAAGAAATTCTTGGGAGAATGAATAGCGCAGCTATCACAAGTAATGCGTGGAGAATCTAGGTGAGATGTTTTTTATAACAATTGTTCAGAATTGGCTCTCCCCTTCAATCCCTTAGGCTTACCTTCAAGTTTCATAAAACACCCTCCAAAGTCATGCAATCCGGTTTTTCTTAAGGCCGCACCTCAAGAGGATGCTGCACTGCTAACTAGCACAAAGTTTCTCTGGGTGATCTTTGCCTCTAGTTGTACGTTTATTTGAAAATTTGAAACCCACAGAGCTTCTGAATGAACCACCCATCCCCCTCAACCCAGAAACTGTCCCCACATGCCAAGGGTTAAATATTTATTAGGTTTATTTTAACCAGGAATAAATACATGATTTAGCGAAGTGTAATGCTCCCCACTTAGAAATCCCTCTGGGTGCTCCCCAACATTCCAATCACATTCATCACAACATAAAACAATACTTAAGATGCTGTGCAGATATCTGGAGTTCAGGGGTCACCCTGCCTTATGCGGGAAGTCAGTGTCCACAGTGTTACATTCATTTCTCATACATTGGCTGGTTCTTTTGAAATAGCCTTTTGGAATTGTTGGGGAAACCACAGATGCCTCCTTGTATAAACACACTGGAATCTATGATACAGAAAATCGTGTAACTGCACATATACATACCACTAGCACAATGAGCTCAGATGGACGGAATGCTTATGTGAGCAGACAGACTTCGAAGGCAGGGGAAGATACTGAAAACATGTGCCCCTCCTTCCCCAGGATCCCTTTGAAACAGGGAAACATGAGTCATAGACTCATCTGCAGCCCACTCTCCTCCTAGCAGGATTTGGATAGGAGCTCTGGAGATCCCTGCTTCTCCTTCTCTGGCTCTACACTGTGTTTTTTCCCTTGTCTCTTAAAATTATGTGTGACATCATTAATCCACTTGGATTCCCCGTCTTTCCTGGAGCTCAGCATTTTTTGTCATATGGATGCCAGACCCTTCTTAGAATAAAGTACTGGATGAATTCATTCCTTAGAATGTATCCATTTCTTTTTTAAAATTCAGCTATCCTTACCCAATCCAGCCAGCCCTTTCACTCTGAAGAACAGCTAGAAAGTGAGCTCCTGAGTGTCCCTCACCTGCCTCCAATTCCATCCTAAGCCATGAATGATTTCTATTTTTACATATTATTTTTTAACCACTTTTTAACCTGTCTACACTGTGAACATCTCTATTGGGGGTTGGGGACTTATGAATTCTTTTTTCTGGCCTACATGACACATTACCTAGGACTTAATGCAATGCCTCTTCAGGCAATAAATGAATGGTTGATGCATTAATGTAGGCAAGAATCCCAATATTCCAGAGAAGCTCTCTCTGCACTGCAAAGCCATGGCTGCAGACATCAGGAAAGCTGGTGCAGTTCTAGGCTTGCCCCCTCTGCCAGCAGCCTTCCTCTCTCTCATTCTCTGGCCCTCTGCAGAATCAGGGAGGCCATCTGACTTCCACCCACATGGCTTCGGTGCAGGAGCCAGACCCAAGGTATCTCCCAGTTGAAGGCTCAGAAGTTTTTCAGGCTAATGTTTAGTGTCACAGAGTTCCTATAAAAAGAGAGGAAAGCATACCAGAGATCCCTATGGATTGGTTAAAGTAGTTCCATTCAGGGGATGCATCTGCAAACCCAGACCTGCTGCCAGGCTATAGCTTTTGTTTCCTCTCCCTCTCAGCCCTGGCCACTGAAGTTCTCTCCAACGACCTTGGAGTGTAGCTGTCTGGACAGGTCCAGTTCCTTGGAGAATGGTCCTGGTGCACTTTCTTGTGAGGGTGGCTTTGTCCTGTGTCCCACACACACAATGTGTGCATAGATACATGCTGAGCTCTTCCAAGCATCACCTGACATGTCATGACCCAATGTTTCATGATGTCACAGCCCTGATCGGACACCAGGCCAGAGTTCCTGTGGCCATGATGTGGATAGAGAAGATGCAGCTTTGAGTCTCCATGTGACTTCTCTTGGCTCCTAAAATATATGAGTTTCCTGGGGATCAGGGAATCTTGCTTTTTGCAAGATCCCAGGCAATAGTTGGAACCTCTGTTCCTTTAGGGCATGAACCATTTTGTCTGTTTTTGGCTAGTCTTCAAAGTAAGGTGGTGATGAGAAGAAAGAGCTCTTTCTCTTGCTGCCACTGTACATCAGGGAGACACTTTTCTTCTTTCGATCAAAGGAGGTGTTGTCCTCACTGGTCAGGGACAGGTAAGAGGCGATGCTTTCTCGAAGGCCATAGCTGAAAAGGGACTCGTCTACCCCAAGTGGGTTTTCTGTTCCCTCGTGGTCCTCCTGCAGTCTGTGGGTCAGAAGAAAAGGGGGCAGAGAACGGGAAAAAAGAGGGTCATAGAGAGAGGAGGGGATGAGGGCAAGAGAATGAGAACAGGAGGAAAAGAAAAACGAAATTCCTGGTGACTATTTCTCTTATTTATCCTTCTTTTTTTTGTTTTTTTGAGATGGAGTCTCATTCTGTTGCCCAGTCTGGAGTGCAGTGGCGCAGTCTCTGCTCACTGCAACCTCTGCCTCCCAGGCTCAAGCAATTCTCCTGCCTTAGCCTCCCGAGTAGCTGGGATCACAGATGTCTACCACCATGCCTGGCTAATTTTTTGTAGTTTTAGTAGAGACAGGGTTTCACCATGTTGGCCAGGCTGGTCTCAAACTCCTGAACTTAGGTGATCTACCTGCCTCGGCCTCCCCAAGTGCTGAGATTACAGGCATGAGCCAGCCCTAACTTATTATTCTAATTATTACTCTAACCAATTACTCTACTCTAACTGTAAGTATTCTAACCGATTATTTTAATGCTGGTTCTTATATTTGTGGGCCATATGATCTTGGACAAATCATTTAACCTCTCTGAACTGCTATTTTCTTGGATGGCTGACACTTCCAACTGTAAATTCTAGTAAAATTAATTTTTATTATTTATAAGAAAGAGCATTTTTCTTTATCTCTTACATAATTTTGATCTCTGATTTTCTTTGATTTGCCAGTGGGATCTCTGGATTGATACTGAATTATTAAGATAACCCACCAATCCCAAACTACAAATAGCCTTTAAAATTCACAACCGACAATGGAATAAACAGAACAAATTGATGAAAGATTTTTTCTCCTAGAGAAAACAAGGAAGTCACTGTAGGATTCTACTGATGTGTTTAAGCTTTGTGAGTGGGTTTTAAATAATATTAAATTTACACATGATGTGCCACTTTCTAGGATCCTAACAATTAGAAAGAGAAAGGTGGTATATTTCAGCCAGAATGTATACTGCTAGCATAGAATAGACTCAGTAAATGTTTGCAGAAACAGGGGGAGCTGCCACACACCTTGTGAGGCTTGAGACCGCACCAGCACCCAAGGATTCCCTTGGTCTACATCTGGGTGAGGTGCTCACCTCCGGGTCTCAGCAGGGCTGGCTGACGCTGGCCATGGTTTTTATGTACTAGGCACACACACTGTTTTGTGCTCACATGTTCATGGACCACTTGCATATGTATACACACACACACACACACACACACACACCATACTCACCTGGACACTCTCCTCCAGTCCACGGTCTTCTGACGCAAAGTGACAGGTGAGCTGGAGGTCCTCACTGCCGGGGCAGCTGTGCTTTGTGTCAGACAGGGCGTGGTGAGCACACAGCACAGACCATCAGCCACTTCTGAGGAGGGAAGCAGGCAGCCAGTCAGGGACCCTGTGGATGCCACAGCCAGTGTGGGGTGCAGGCCTGAGACACCCTCCAGTGCAGCTCCCTGGCTATTGCCATGGGGGAACTGGGGCTGAGACTTCAAAGGGGCATGGTAGGTAGTAGCAAGGCAGAAAGCCACATGCTCAGTGGTTTGAGAAATGTGAGTGTGCCCTGGTATACTCTGCATTTAGGCAGGTACGGGCAGAGAGAGAGGTTTAGGGTCCAGTATCAACCAAACTTGGATGTGAATTTTAGCTTTGCCCCCGTGGTAAATGACCATGAACTTCTCTGAGCGTCATTTTCCTCAACTGCAGAATGAAAGAAACGAGGCAACAAGTGAGTGCCTGCAGAGGCCGCAGCCTTCCAGGGTTTCCCATGAAGGCCCAATCCATCAACTTCATGGGGTGTGAGATGGGGCCACGAACAACACCCATCCCCCAATTGTGCATTTAGTATGGCACAGGAGGACTAAATACACCTCTAGGAAGAAAGATAAAAGAAGTAATGAAAGAAGGAAGGAAAGGAGACAGGGAGCTGAGGAGGAATGAAAGAGGACAAGAAGGAACAGCAAAGATGAGACGGAGAAGGAGGAAGAGGAGGCAAAAACAGCACAAAAAGTAGAAGACACGGGAAGGGAGGGAAGAGAAAAACAAAGAGGGCAGGCAGAGAATGCAGACAAAGAAAGAATGAAGACCATCTTTCTTTCACTCTAGAGACTCACGCACAGAAAGAATGAAAATTAAATAAACCTGTTTCTTTTTCCCTTGTATGAAAATCTCTGTGTGAAATGTCCGACTCTTGGGCACATCACGACATAGCTTCCATCTCTTGGAAGGCTTCTTCCTAGCCCATGTCATCAGCAGAAAGACTTGATTCTGCTGTAACCAGGCATCTTAGAGATTGAGGAAATTCTGTGCAGTCTTATTCAGGCTAAAGACCCTGACCCCAATGCTTCTCCTGTGCCCTGTGGGGAGATGACGTGGCCAAGGGGATGAGGAGCCACTGGTCTCCAGCTGGACTGAGCCACCCCCGCCTCAAAGCCAATCCACCACCAGGGTTTAGAAAGCACATCACACCTCTGACAGGTCCCACCTCCCATCTGATTTATGGAGTGCTCTCTGGGGCATCCTGGCCAATGAATGAATAAAGAATTTGTAGCAGAAGAAGCACACTCAGCCTGTCACAGGGAGTCAGCCAGGAAGACCTTGTTTCATGGTTTTCAGTCTGACTTCAACTATGAACTCAAATGTCCACCCTCACAGGTGCCCTTGGAGAAATGGGAGGTGAGACCATGAATTTCGAGGGAGATTTTATTGGATGGGAATCTAAAATAATGATCTGTCATGGGTTGGAAATTGAAACGACCTCCCAGGTTATGAGGCGAGGAAGATGAAGTTAGATGCAAAGGCTGGAGAGATCAGCTGCAATGTGCAGCTCAGGCAGGGGACGCTTCCTGAGTGTCCTTCCTCAGACAGGTTAATATGCAGGGTGAAAAATAAATTTTGACAAAAAGCAAAAGAACCACCACTCATAAGCATATCACATGCCCCCAGCACTAAGCTTGCCTTGCCCCCTGGATCACACTGAGCCCTTGATCAACTCAATGTTTTTATATCCATTTTGGGGAGTAGAAAGCTGAGGATCTTGAGGTGAAGTAACTTGCTCAGGGCCATAGAAATGTGACCAAAATCAATCTTATTGACTCATTCTAAAAGCAACCCATTGCCTCTTAAACGAAGAAGAAAGACACCGTCCAGCCGTATGTAGGATTCAGACACCCTGGTCTCCTTCACCCCTGTCTACATGCCTCATCAGAATGCACGCTGCTCTGGACCTTTAGGGTCCAACAACTCTATATTCAAGTGTTCCCAGACCCTCAAGGTCCCCAGCCCTTGATTTTCCCAGCCATGTTTTAGAGCTCATTTATGCCCGTGCCCTCTGTTCTGTCAGTAACCAGCATGCATGGTGTACTTTAAGTGCCGCATTTTTCACGTGCATTTTTTTTTTTTGGACTAGCAGCAATCCTGTGAGGATTATTGCATTTTGATCCCCAAGTTGTAAAGAAAAAAAACTCAGCCTGCAAGGTGTCAAGTAATTTGCCTAAAAGCATCATGATAAAAATTATAGGCAACCTGTTGTTAGATGTCTATTTAAACCCCTGGTGAACGGTTCCTCTCATTCTGTCTTTAGAATGAATCCAGTGGAGATCAAAGTGACTGTAGGGTTTCTGCTAGGGGATTCTGAATGGGGCATAAGGAGAATTTCAGGTTTTCACACCCTTTTCAGTTATTCACGGAAGTGAACGGATGACTGTAATCCATTGAGTGGTTCGATGACCAGGAACATATTGTGGGAAGGTGCCAGTGCTGCCTGGGGTGAGATGTGCCCCATGGTCAAGCAGCGGCAGGTAGATTTGGGTGTTTCTGGCCTGGTAGCCGCACGGCCTCATGGTCCCTAGAAGCTTTGCTAGGACAGCATCCTTCTCATGTTTGCTTTTGTCTATGCAAAACTTCTGGTCTCCACACCCCCTCCGATGGTTGTTATTAAAAGCCAAATACCACAACCAACCTTTACTCAAAACCAATATAAGTTGGCTGTTTCCAGGACTCCCTTCCTCTTTTGTTTTTACCTGGCTGCTAAGTTTTCAGACATCACAGAAGTAATATCTATTATCATTTATTTTGCATCTGCTGTGTGCCAGGCTATGCTGAACACGCTATGTCAACAGTTGTGTTGTGTTTAGCGATTATTCAATCACCTGCTAGGAGTCCATATTCACCCACCTCCCATAAATGGGGACCCCAGGTTCTGAGGGGTGGCTGACCTTGCCCAAAGCCTCACATGATGCAGATGTGAGCTTGGACCAGCCTCTCCTGAACAGGTATTTTTGCTCCATGCCCTGCTGCTTCTGGTGGGCCAGCTGTGATAACCAAAGCCCTGTAGACTCGTTTCTCCCTGAAATACCCTTTGTTTGCTCAGTTCAAGACCCCATATACAAGAGAATGCCAGCAAAGCTGCCCCAGCGTGTGAGGTCAAGCATCCTGAACCCAGAAGGGGGAAGATGCTATCAAAGCAAAAGCAACCTCTTCCTTTCCTGCCTCCAATATGTAGAGGAAGCGAGGAGGACAGCGATATTCTGCTGGGTAAAAGTGGCTGGTATTTAATAGGAGCTCGTGGTTATGGGCCAGGTACCCTCCCCACTTTCCATGCACTAACTCAGTGGATCCTCACGGTGTCCTTGAGAGGGGGGACTATTAGTGTCTGCCTGGCACAGATTAAGAAAGTGAGGCACAAACAGCTAGCCCCAGGCTGCCCAGCTAACAGTGAGCAGATTTGGAATAGAAACCGAGCTTCCAGAGCCGGTTTTTGGAAATTTAGCATTTAGCCAACTGTTCACAATAGGGTAAAGTCCTGACTCCTGAGCTGATGTTTGGACCTTTCACAGTGTAACTCAACTTTCTCTGTCTGGCAGTGTCCTACTTCTCCAGCTATCAACACCACATAAGATAAAGGTGCTTCCTTTCTCTTAGTGGATGCTCCTCATCTCATCAGCCTGGGAGAATTCAGACCTCCTCCTGGGTCTGAAAAGGGCACAGAAATGAATTAAATGCAATTCCTAGTATTTAGGATCCTGTTAAGGAACACAGATTAGCACACAATCAAACAGACCACGTGGAAGCATGATTGGAATTCTGGAAAAGGAACCCTGGGTGTGCTCTGAGCACAGCGAAGACAGGCAGCTACTGGTAACTCCTATAGCTTCATTGCAGAGGCGATTCATGTTGGCCTTGAAGGCCAGTGAGGATCTTGACAAGCAGAAAAGGGAGAATGAGGGGCAGTCTGGAACAAAGCCCAGAGGCTTGAAGATGTATGCCCCACTTAGGGATGTGCAAGCTGATTGCAGTTGTGAATCTAGGCACACCTTAACTTGTTGAAGGTACAGGTAGAGAGAGGGCAAATTTGAGATTAGCTGCATTTTGCTTATTAAGGCAGCACGCACAGGCAGTCTGTTTCAGTCTGAAATTTATGGTCTGAATTAACAAGAGAGCATATCATGAGGGCAGCATGGGCAGAAAGCAAGAGTAAATCACTGCATTTATTGGTGACCCCTCTGCATTCCAGGTGGATGGCGCCGCAGAGCAATTAGCTAAGAGGGGTCCCACCATCGCAATTAGTCCAGATTGAATGTCTCTTACCAGAATAGTGGTTCACCAGGTCCTCCAGGCACTGGAAGGTGAGCCTCGGGGAAATGTAGTACCAGTTGTTGGGCAGGCGGAAAATGCGGTAATGCTTTACCTGCCTGTGTCTCACCGACAGCGAGTAAAACCCTGCAGGAGGTGGAGGATAAGTCAGTGGGTTCCACCTTTCCCCACCTGAAGGCACCCAGCCAACCAGCCCACCACCACCGAGGCAGGGAGACATGCCCACCCTTGGGATACAACAGTGATGCTAGCACACGTCCCTTCCCTCCACTAGATCCTCCTGTGTTTAGACATTGCTTCCCATTGCAGGAGTGTGTTATTGTGTCAAAGCAGATGTGTTCATCGTATGGCTCTTACAGGTTTTCAGGAACACAGGTTTCATCCTCTCTGCTTTTTTTTTTTTTTGAGACTGGGTCTCACTCTGTCGTCCAGACTGGAGTACAGTGACATGATCTTGGCTCACTGCAACCTCTACCTCCTGGGCTCAAGGGATCCTCCCACCTCAGCCTCCTGAGTAGCTGGGACTACAGGCACATGCCACCATGCCCGGCTAATTTTTGTGTTTTTTGTAGAGATGGGGTTTTGCCACATTGCCCAGCTGGTCTCAAACTCCTGGACTCAAGTGATCCACCCACCTTGGCCTCCAAAAGTGCTGGGATTACAGGCATGAGCTGTCACACCCAGCCTTGTCTTCTGTCTTTTTGAGGCAAACACATTTGGGGTGCTTCCACATCCTGAGGCCAAATTGAATGATTGTAGTTTGGTTTCAACCTGTAGCTCCAGGACCTGTGGTCGTTTCTGACTCCTTCCCGAGTACATTCCAAAATGTCATCCCTACTGTTTTCCTCTTTCAGCCTCTGTCCCACCAATGCTGCCACAGCACACATTTGAGGGAGTCCTTGCAGTTAATATTGCCTCTTTCTTTGTCTATAATCTCTCTGACTTAAGCTTAGTTTTCTCAGAAATTTGAAGCAGTTGAGTCATCTTTCTGGGTGTCCCTGAGAAACATGTGAAAGGTGGGTTATTGTCCCTTAACCCTTATTAGAGCAATGACCTGATATGGCTTGGTAGGAGCAGAACTACAGGCATGTGCCTCGATTTCCCCAAATGCAAAGTGAGAGAATTGGATGTAGGCCATGTTTTAGGGTCCTCTCTGCTCTATCTTCTGGGATTTCAGGAGTAGAAAATGCCTACCAGACAGAGGAGAAAGGGAGCTGATTGATTCTTTGCTATCTCTGCTGGGCAGGGCTAAGCAATTGCCAAGAAATTTCTATTAATTCTCAGAAAGATCATAGGAGGCATTGCCCCCAATTATTTTAAAGATGGAGAAGCAGAGGCCTCGAACCTCAGTGGGATATGGCCAGAGGCACGGGGCTTGGTAATGCCACCTTGAGATGTGAGCCTTGTCATCAGCTCATCCCTCAGGGTGCCCCAGGCCTGCCCTGAGTCAACCCAGCATGAGCCTTCCTGTAAGGTCAGCGGAACTGGGAGTGTGGTAAGCATGTCAAGAGTAACAAGTAAAAAAATGTCAGAGCTTTGCATACCCAAGGTGGGCCTGTCACACCCACCCAGCTCCAGCATGATCACTCATCTGCCTGATAATATCTTTATTTTTAGATGAGCTGTGGCACCCACCCTGGGTTCTTGGCCAGGCCAATTTAGGAGTTTCTTTCTGAGTCGGGGCATCCTGCCTTCGGGGACCACTGGGTCAGGCAGATAATGTTTTCTTTGGCTTTGATCTTTCTGTCCCCCAGCCTATTTGGGTTTTTGAGAGAAAAGTCGATCTTGGATTTTTTTTTAATCACATATATCTGATCCCTGCTCTCTGAAAGCAAAGTTGAAGCTCCTTTTGGTGAAAAGCTCCGGCACCGGGTAGCTTTGGCACTTATTAGGTGCATGAGAAGCACTCTCAGATACTGTGTTTTCTCTTCTTTGATACCGAGGGTACAAGAAGCAAGCCAAGAACTTGAAGATACCTTCTGAATTTTAAAAAAAGTTATTATTTAGTCTGGGAAAATCCTAGCTGTTAAGTATTTTGGGATAAACACGGTACTCTCCTACTGTAAATTTCATGGTCTAGATCAGGGAGCTGAGGCTTAGGGAGAGAGAGGCAGTAACTTAGTAATTTGTAAGGCTCAAATTGGAATTTGTGACCCTTGCTTTGAATCATGACAAAGAGCTCACACTATGTGTTTTTACTGAGGTACTTAATGCATAGGATGCAAGGAAATGATAATGCTAGAGATGGTGGTGACGGAAAGGACACAGCTGATTCTCCGCTTTGGTTGCAGAGCACAGAGGAACCTGATATCGGGGCCATCTGTGCAGGTGGAACAATACAAATATTATTACATTTGAATCTCCCCACACCCTTATAAGAAAGGGATTTTCTCTCCATTTCACAGATGAGAAAACTGAACTCAGGCAAGTCAGTCACAGAGCTTGAGGACACAGACCAGGCCTGTGCTGAAGGCCACCTTCTATCTGCCCAGTGTGCTGTCTACAGGCTACGTTCAGTTTTGTTCTCAGTTGCTGGAAAATTTTCCAGCAGGAGTCATCAGGCCTGATATTGGCCAGGCCCATGGCAGGGCCCAGTTGGCTCCCCACTGCCTGTCCCCTTGTTTTCACACTGGCCTCTCCAGCAGCGTGTGGGCTGCAGGGGGCTAACTACATCAGGTCGATTTGCATGGATGTAGGAGAAAGGAAAATGAAGCCATGTCACAAGTCAGCCAGGAGCAAAATATGCTTGTCTGCCTCAAACAGGGTTAGATGAGTTGGAGGCCACTTACCTTTCTTGGTCTCACTCTCTCTGATCATGAAGGAGCCAACCTTTGTGTCTGGCAGCTGCAGCAGCTCCTCGGCCTTATCTCTGCCCAGGCCCTCAAAGAGCCAGCTGGGAAGGAGGAAGACAGCCATTAGGATCCCGAGCAAGTCCTCCCCCAGGACAGGTGGGAATGGGCCACCCACCACACTAAGCACTTGAAACCTAATCCTCATCTGAACCCACCAAGATAGGTAGCAATATCTCCCTTTCACAGATGAGGATACTAAGAGTTCCAGTGATTAAGTAATTTGCCCAAGATACCATGTCAGCGGTTGATAGAGTTAAAATTAGAATTCATTTTTCTGGGACATCCAATTCTATAACCAACATACTTTGCTGCTGCTCTTTTATTTATTTATATCTGGAGTTACATTATCCTTTATTTATTTATTTATATCTGGAGTTACATTATCCTTTATTTATTTATTTATATCTGGAGTTACATTATCCTTTATTTATTTATTTATATCTGGAGTTACATTTATTTATTTATTAATTTATTGAGGTGGATTCCTGCTGTGTCACCCAGGCTGGAGAACAGTGGAGTGATCTTGGCCCACTGCATCCTCTACCTCCCAAGTTCAAGTGATTCTCCTTCCTCAGCCTTTCAAGTATCTGGGATTACAGGCATGTGCCACCATGCCTTGCTAATTTTTTTTTGTATTTTTAGTAGAGATGGGGATTCACCATGTTGGCTGGGCTGGTCTTGAATTCTTGACTTCAAGTGATCCACCCACCTTGGCCTTCCAAAGTGCTGGGATTACAAGTGTGAGCCACCACATCCAGCCCTGCTCTTCCTCTTTGATATATTAGGGGATGTGATCACTTCTGTTAGATTGGTAGCCCCTCGAGGTCATAATTATGTCACTCCTCTGGGTTCCTCACCACCCTCAGCTCCCGCCAGCTGCAGCTGCACAGCTTCAGCATGAAGACGCTGATGCATGCTTGCTAATGAATGAATGGCTCCAGGGTAAGCAGCTGATGCAGAAGAGTCATGTGACTCACATCTCTTTCAGAACACAGCAGCTCCTGCTCCACTTTTGTTCACCTGTATCATCCTAGCCATGGGAATGGCTTCTGGTATTCACAAATAATTTACAGTACTCTCCTACTACAGGAGTACTTTACTACAGTATTTACTACAGTACTAGAAAATAGTGAATACTGAAATTAAACACGTGGAATTTCAGTCTTCAAAGGATTCAGGTGGTTATCTCTGTCTTGCAAGATGAGCATGTGGCATGTAGAGTCTTACTCTGGACTTGAAGAAGTAACTTAGTATTTATCAATGGATTCCTCCTTCTTTCTTTCCCATTTCCAATATTCTGTGCACTTCTTTGCCAACTTCTGGCTTTGGTAACTTGACAGAAGAGGATAATGTAACTCCAGGAGGTGAAGCCACTTTTCTAAGGCCCTCACATTGAAGTAGGAAAGCCAAGATTTGTGCTCACATGTGCAGGGCTCCAAAGCCACCCGGGAAGGCAGCAGAGGCCTCACTGGCATGAGTACAGGAGAAAGCAGAGTGCTTATTTTCTTATCTGCTGAGCCTGGTTTTCTAAGATTTCTCTAGTTCATCTTACCCATTTTTCAAGCAGGGCACATAAGCATTTTTGGCAGTAAGGATTCTGTGTGTTTCTGGATAGGTATTTGATTAGAATATAGCTAATATTTATCGAGTGCTTACTGTAATGCCTGACATTGCTCCAAGAACTATGCATCTATCAGTATATCTTATTCTCCTAACAGCCCTACACTTTGATCATATTATCATATATTATTATCCCTATCATTCTATATTATGATCTCTATTTGACAGGTGATGCATAAAAAGCTTGTTCACTATCACACAGCCAGTAAGTGACAGAGGCAGGATTTGAAACTAGACAAACTGACTTCTAGTCTCTGTACCGTGCTGTGCCCTGTGATAACATTTCCCAGCTGTTTACCACTCTGTGCCAGGAATACCACGTTAGAGCTGAAAGGCCCAACTTCCTTCATTTCACTGTGGGAGAAGTTGAGTTCCAGAGAGCAGAAGGGATAAATGAGCCCAAGGTTGAGCCTTTCCTTATTGACTGGATTGGGAGCAGGAGTATCTCTTCTTGACCCGGTGCCTTCATTTCCACTATAGATGCTGGAATCTTTGTTCTACCTTATGAGTCACCCCCATAAGTGTCATGCTTAATGGATGCCTTTTGAGAAATGTACTCACCCATGATAAACTCTGGCCACACATATTCCAGGGATGTAACTCTCTCGACCAGTGCTAAGAGAAATAGCTTTCCACCAGCCCCCTTCACTGTGAGAACGAGAACAGAGAAGAACACAGAGATAGGTAAACAGCGAAACAAAAGGATGAATGAACAGAGTAATCAGATTTTACCCAGGACAGATGGGAACATCCCTCTATTAAGACCTGTCACTGGCCATGTTAACCCAAATTTCTTCATCTGAAAATTTACTTTTTAAAGTATGTGTATCCAGTGGAGAGCCCTCCATGGCAAGCAACTGCTAAACCCTCCCATGTGCTAGAAATAGCTGCCTTTCAGGGATTAGCAGCTAAGGTTCTCAACTGTTGGGGGATTTTAAAAAATAAATGTTTACTATATTGATTTCTAATCTGCAGTGTAACCAAAGATAGACTCACATATCTGCATCAATGAAGTTCTAAATAAAAGGGGCTTATTTGGAGTCCCTGTCATGCTCTATAGCTTATATTGAATCAAACTGCAGAGGCAAGAGAAGAGAGGGCAAATCTTTTATATTTCTCATCCAAAGGATTTCCAGACCCTGGGGCCACCTTCCCAGTCTTCATTCCTACACAGCATCAATACTGCACATGTGGTGAGAGATGAGAAGAATATGAGAAGAGGTTGGATCATAATGAATCTCAAAAACCAAGTTAAAAAGTTTAAATTTGATCTACTGGGCAGTGGGGAGCCATGGAAGGTTTTAGAGCACTGGCCACATTAAAAGAGGAGGGTCGTAGTATGGGCCAAATTTCTCACCTCACAATAGGACCAGGACCCATGTGGAACTAGACAACTCTAGCTAAATATCAAATGATTTTCACCCAAACCAAGTTTATACTGTTTTGAAGATTGTACAAGTTTTGGAGAGCTTACTCACTCAGAAATCACACGCAATTTCTCCCCTCGGCGGAATATGGGGGGGCTGATGTCAGGAGACGGATAGTCATTCAACACGGCGAGGAAGTCGCTGTCCAGTCCTGGGGAAACAAAGGCAAGGGGGGGCAGGGTGCTTTTTATTCACAAGGAGCATAAAGGTAGCCTTGGAAGGAAGGGCATAAAGATGAGATTTTCCAGCAGGAGATACCTTTCTTGTTTTGAAACACTAATTTACAGCAATGTCCTCTCTTCAGAGACGGCAGTTTAGGGTCCACATACAAGCCCTGAAGGTCAGATGACATGCTCCTATTCTCAAGCCTGCCTTGGCCCTGGTGTTCTCATCTGAGAAATGGGATCCAGAGCCTGTGAGCTGAGTCATGGGGTCTGACTTCAGGGCCTGCCCTGAGTCTACTAGCCTCACTCTCTCCATCTTTAAAATGGGACTAATAATACCTCATTCCAGGGTCCTTTGGAGAGGAGATGAGACTGTTTTACACCACATACATTCACATAAGTTGCTGTAAAAACACCCCTTCTCATTACCAATGCCTCGAGTGTCCACTCTGGGACTCAGGGATGTTATGTCTGTGTCATATTGGGGGAAGGGGTGTCAGGGTAAATGACTTCCGAAGACCCACCAGGACCATGAGGCAGCAACTCTGAGGTTAAACAAAAACACTTTTCTCTTGCAGAATATAAGGCCCCAATATAGGGACATTTGTTGAGGGCAGGGATGGTGGAAGAAAAATTGAGTACTTTTCCTGATAGTGTATTGAAAGGAATTCTGGTGAAGTGTTGAGAAGGAAAGAGGGCTGTCTAGTTCCTGCGAGTATCATTGACTGTAGAGCAGAGACAGTGATTTTGGTTTTTGACACTAAGTGACATGTCTGCTTCCATCCTCAGTGATTTGACGTAATTCAGGTGCATCAGAGGCAGGGTACTATTTGGGTACGTTTTGGGCAGAAATAATAAGATGTCTTCCATATTGGCAAATAGAGCTATTATTTGCTGTGACTTTCATCACTCCACCTGCTGACTGGGCCTTCGAACTTAAAATTCTGGGTAACATCACCTGTTCATTCATTCTTTTGGCAACTACTTACTGAGCAGCTGTCATAAGTCAGCATAGGTGAGCAAAGCAAGCCCATTCTTGCTGCTCTCATGGACCTCACGCTCTAGAGGATACATTGTTATGGGAGGAACTGGTTCCTGGTTTGCTTACTGCAAAAAGATCTGGAGAAATGCCAGCACTCGGGCATGTGGGCTCCATGACCCAAACAGTCCACTTTCTAGGATCCACACACCTCTAGATCCTGCCTCTTACAGCTCATATGTCTTACAGCCTTGAGTCGTAAGTCTCTTGGGCAGACTAAGTCTAAACAGAGGTTCAGTACTCGAATGAGTGAGAAAGAGGAATGAGGTTCTGAGTAAGGTTACGCTTATCAGTTGATAAATGAATTAGAAACAAGCAGTCGCAATGGAACAGTGCACCCAAATGTATTGTTCATTTGGGGAAGCTCAGTCACCGCCAATAAGCCACGTAAAAGCAAGAGTTTCTGGGTGTGAGAGAGAAACTAAAAGTGATCTTTGGTGGCTTTCCCAGTCTTGGAGGGGGATCAGGGCTTTTGAGAAACAGGTTGGGATATAAAAGGGCTGGCCCAGCCAGACCTCTGGCCTGTCCTGCTGCAGACCTTCCCTGAACCTGTGAGGGCAGCTCCCTCACATTCCGCTTCACTGAATTCAAAAAAGGGGTTCTTCCTTGTGTAGCTTTGACTCCACCCCAATAAGTAGAGGCAGCATTACAGTTGTGTTAATTTTGAAGCCAGAAGTCCCAAGTTCTCACAAAGGGCAGGTTCATATTTGGTGAGGCATAAAGCTTTTGCAAATTTGGTGGTCCTCTTCAAGAAAAAATACACAATTGTAAATACACAATGAAGGCTAGACCCCAGGAAGGTGCTGTACCAGCAGGGGGGTCTCAGGGGTATGATTTGTTTGGTTTCCTGGCAAATCTCCCCAGAAGCTGAGGCTGACTTTGCTTCTCACTGAGTGGGACACCTCCTTCTTCTCTTGTGCCTGGGTTTCTTAGTCTGGGAAATGAGAGGTTTAGAAACACCTTCAAGGTGGAAATCCAACTTCCTGGACTAATGGCCCCCAAATAGGAAAGGGCCATTTATTACCCTGGCGCTCTGCTGCCTTGGCTACATGTGACCGGCCTTTCTCCAATTTGCAAGGCGTCCTGGTTCTCAGAGCCTCCGGATATGCTGTTTCCTCTGCGTGGAACACACCCTGCTCTTCCCTCCCACGTTTGTCAACTCCAAACTCACCTCTGCAGAGGCTCCAGAGGAGGCTCAGCCTTCCCACTGTACTAATTCTTCCTCTCGGCCCCTAAGATTTTCCTTTGAAGCAATTACCCCAGGCTGCATTTTCCCATTTCTGTGACTGTCGGGGGAATGTCCATCTCTCCCACCCCCAGCTGTGAGTTCCAGGAGGGCAGAACACTGGTATTTTCTGTGTCCTGTGACCCGTGCTCCGCCTGTTCCATAAAGGATACTCAAAGTGGGTTTACAGAATGTATGGAGCAGTGCCTGTGCTACAATGCCCCTTAAACACAGCTGTCAAGCTGCAGTTTTAAGGAAACCTGATTTGTGGGAGGCCGCTGGGTAGGTGGCCACTGTGGAACCAGCCCCTGGTGAAAACATGTTGAAATGGAAAGGTGGAGCGTGTGTTATCTGTGGCAATGATAGAACCTTGAGGTAGATGCTGTGTCTACAGAGGGATTGAGTCTTGATGTCAAATTCAAGGTTAAGACTGTGGAACAGAGCAATTGTCTTTCCTAACATTAACAACAAAAACCAACAGAAGCAAAAACAAAAGCAAAATCCCATTATAAAAACAACTGTTCCAATGAGGGAAAGGAGGGCTTACAGGGTTAGAGAGTTTCAATTTCACAGTAATGAAGTTAGGTTTCCTGTGGAATTTCCATAACAGTGATGTTTTGATAGCTAGGCACTTAAACATCACTGAGGAAACTTCGCATCTGGGCTTTTGCTTAAAGATCAGATAACCTGTGCCTAATCCTTTGCAAGAGACTTCACCTCTGTCTGCAAAGGTCACCTTTATTATCAGCATTAGCCAAACGGGACAAAGTCACTGGGAAGGTATTACACTTTGGCTTGTACTTCTGTGGGGCAGGGTGGCCATTCTAAGCAAGACCCGGTGCCAGGATCAAAGCCTTCCCTGAGCTTTGGTTGCTACCGAAAAATAAATGCAATGTAGGAAATTTAAGTTTGCTGGTAACGGTGAAACATATTATCATTGACTTCTAGAACTCCTTAGTTTATGAAGAGCTCAAGCAGAGAAAATGAGTGAGGCCAAGGAGAGCTGAGGAAGTCAATGGAATTACTGCAGACTTAAGATAAGGCAACAAGTTAAGTGAAGACATTTGCACTGGGCATGACAGGAGAAACCCAGAGAGAATTTTTGGGACAGAGAATGGACTTTGAAATCCGTCAGAACTGGCTTACACACCACCTCCACTACATGGTGGTGCTATCTGGGGGGAGATTCATTTTTATCTAATCTGAGCTTGATTTCTTCATGTATAAAAATGGAAAATGTCAAAATCTGCCTCATAGGATTGGGTTAAGGGTTTGTGATGCATTACACTTCAGGGCCTGCCTTAGTAAGTGGCCGCTAATATTATTTTTGTGGAGAGGTCGCCAGACAGTAACTCAAGACCAGTGTTGGCCAATGACGTTTCTAAAATTTGCAAACTAGTAGTGTACACTTGAAAATTTCTGCTTGTCTAAAAATGAACTCCATTTGGTGGGAACAGAAGATGAAATTCAGAAGACCAAATATTTGCTGTTAGCTCAACTTAAGAATGAGTCAGGTTGAACAAAATGTACAAACGCGTAAAATAGGAAATGAATCCCCAAAGGAGAGGGACCCAGGCAGGCCCTTACTGGACTTTGTCGAGAGGACAAGCCCTTTTGTAAATTGTCGTTCCTTAGTACAGCATAACCATTTCTTTCCTTCCTTCCTTCGTTCCTTCCTTCGTTCCTTCCTTCCTTCCTTCCTCCCTCCCTCCCTCCCTCCCTCCCTCCCTCTCTCCCTCTCTTCCTTCCTTCCTTCTTTCCTTTTTTTGACAGAGTCTTGCTCTGTTGCCAGGCAGGAGTGCAGTGGCGCAACCTCAGCTCACTGCAACCTCCGCCTCCTGGTTTCAAGTGATTCTCCTGCCTCAGCTTCCCAAGTAGCTGGGACTACAGGCGCCCGTCACCACATCCAGCTAATTTTTGTATTTTTAGTAGAGGCAGGTTTCACCATGTTGGCCAGGATGGTCTCCATCTCTTGACCTCATGATCCGCCCCCTTTGGCCTCCCAAAGTGCTGGGATAACAGGCATGAGCCACTGTGCCCAGTCCCCGACCATTTCTTTTTAAATGCTGAGAACATTCTCAGTTGCTCCCACTTACAACTGTCTAGACAAATGACTTCTAGCAAAACTAGTCATTTTTCACTTCCAGTGCCCTGCCCAGCCCTACAGAAAATATGCGATTATTCAAGGGTGAAGAAACCGAAGCTGGGAGAGTTTTAGTAACGTCCAGGGGAAAGTGTGTAGATTTCAAAGCCCATGTTCCTTCATGGAGCCACATGGCCCTCCTTGGCACTTAATCTCCAAACTCTCCTCAGCTCACACTTGACCCTTACCAGGGGAGACAAAGCAGACTCCAGCTGAGTCTTCAGTATTAGCATGAGCGACTCAGGGCAGCGGGCAGGTAGGGAGCTGCACAGCCTAGCGGTTGTAGTCTCTAGTTTTGCATTCCCTGGAGTCATGCCTAAACTCATGGTCTCCTAAGGGGTCAAAGCAGGCCTGACTTTTAGTGTCTTCTTCAGTAAACACACACACACACACACACACACACTCTCACACTCTTTTTCTCTCTCTCTCTCACACACACACACTCTTCACACACACTCTCTCACACACACACATATTCTCTGTCACACACACACACACTCTCACATACACACACACACACTCACACACACATTCTCTGTCACACATACACACTCTCACATACACACACACTCACACACAT